CTACAGCTCAACATATAAAACACATAGATAAATCAATACAATCTATTTTTAGTCAAGAAAACAACATTCAGAACTTCCCTAGAACGCTTATTTTCGAAGCGTAGGTCGCGATCCCTGCAATGCGTTCATGCATCCTTACGTAACTCTTGGACAAATAAAAGCAGCCCTATGACCTACTTAGAAATAGTGTTATTTACATGAACCAGGTCCATTAAGGAGACTGGCTGTGACAGAATTTCGTAAGGGCTAAATTCAATAACCGATTTCAAGCAAAAACATAGTTTTTGACAAACCTCTCAAAATATCAATTTGACTCAAAATATCAGTGTGAGTTAGTTTAGTTTTAGTGAGGCCCAATTGGATAGTTTCCTAGGTCAAAAATAAATTAATTCGACGTTTCAATATAATAAAATATTAAAAAATAACTATACATTTATTCATCGATCGATCGATACACTGAAATTTAGATATTTTTTTAGCAAATTTTTAAGAAAAAATTAACTATTTGTCGCAAAAAAAACTATGACGTCGTAACTCAGTTTTTCATACAAATTTCATAGAAGAGTATAGTTTTTGATATTTGGATAAAAGTATTAAATTTGACTAGTTGGAAACTACCGTATTGTCCCCTTCCCCCACCCCTCCTCAATCCCTAAATCTGCGGTAACCTATCCCCAAAAAGCCGGCAACGCAATCTAGTGTTGCAGGTATCCATGGGCGGCGTCGATTGCTTAACGTCAGGTAATATGTAGGCTTGTTTGCCAACCTTAACACTGAACTTTTTGATATTTTTTTTTTCTTTGACGTTCTAAAGTGCCCATATTGGTAGCAATTCTTAAAAGATATGTGCATCGGTTTTTTTTTATAAGTAGTTCAAAATTCCTTCGTAATCGCTGTGACACAATTCTGAAACAATCTAATCTTGAGTTCTTTATTCTTTTTGTTTGTTTTACAGATAAATTTAACGTTTGACCTGTTTCTGTTTTATAACAAAGAAGTCAAAATACACACCAATACTGATTAAAATTAACAGCAGTCAAGAACACCCTAATCTATACTAATATTATAAAGAGGTTGTACTACATACAACCTCTTTATAATATTAATATAAGCGTTCTAGGGCTATTCTTTGGAACAACTGAGTCGGATTGCCAAAATTCTTTCACTGATACATAGCTACAATATTCTTGTGTGTGAAACCGGTGCCTGTGAGAGCAGCTAGTAAAGGGGTAAAATTTGTATGTTTGTTTGTAGGGGGTAATCTTTAGAATCGCTGGTTGGATTGCTCATGTTCCTGAGTACTATAGGCTATAAAATATCACGCTGCGATCAAATGGAGCCGCGAGTAAACCTGCGCGACAGAAGCTAGTAATTAATATTATGACAAATGTTTTTCTGTTTTAGTATAAATCTTTTGTTTCTTCTATAAATATTATTCTTTTAGGTCATATAGTGTGTTAAGGGCTAAATAAAACCGTAAACATTATTGATGGTCTTACATCAAATAGAAACGTTTCAATATAAGTAATATTTTAAATTTCGAATTTGTAATAGCTCATGACAAAAATGTATTAATACACTAGCTTTTCCTCGCGACTCCGTTCGCGTGGAATAGTGACTTCTTGCAGATTTTTGGTAGAAAAACTATCCTTTGTCCTGTCTCGAGTTCCAAACTATGTCTGTACTTACCAAATTTCACAGACATCGGTTCAGTAGTTTAGGCGTGAAGAAAAGACAGTCAGAGTTACCTTCGCATTTATAATATTAGTTTGTATAAATTGCAACTAAACTGGAAATGCTCACGTACTATAAATATTTTACGATAACAACACTGTTGCGTCTCCATAATTTCTAATTCTTAGTTAGCGTTTGCACGAACAATAGCCATAGTTCACGATACCAACGTTAAATGGCGCCATTGTTCAACTTCTCATATCGCACCACAGATTAAATACGATTGTCAATGACAAGGCCTTCTAAGTAAAAGGTGCGGAAAAGTGACATTGTCTTTTTTATTATTTTATTCTTGTTATTGTTTAGATCAGAGGTTCCCAAACTTTTTTTTCTCACAGACCACTTTAAACATTTTGCTGGATCTGGTGGACCCCCTGCAACTTTTACATCTACCTTACTTCCAAAACCCGAAAAAAGTATATGTCTAAGTAAATCTGTGTTGTGACTATTTTTCAATCAACTATGAGTTTTCGAAAAAAAGGTGAGAATTTATATTACTTTGATTATGCTGTGAGTTAAAGGCCAGTCTAAAAAGCGTCTTCATCCAACAGATTCCTACTTTACTTTTTTGTATTGACTCACAGTATAAGAAACCAATAAGCTCCCACTTCGGAGTGGTAAAAAGTAAAAATAAATATTTTCTTGTTTCGTAACCAAGTATTTATTCAAACATAAAAATTACTACACTTTCAATATATTGTTATAACAGTCTTAGTAGAATCAAAATTTAACATCAAAACTAATAATCATTAGTATTTTAAAAACAGTCGCAATACAATCAAAATTTATAATTTAGATTACATTGCATTTCTTGCAATATAATCAAAATTTTGATATTGAAATTGATTGTCGACAGTACAGTCGACACTTCTTAGATTCACTTTCTTTTTTGAAATTCCGGAAACAACTGAGTGATGTTTATCATTCGCATTCCTATTTATATTAGGGAAAAATCCAACAAGATCATGCAAGTTTAGATACAACTTTAACTAGGCGAGCGGGCGGCGCGGACTCGGCGCGTCTTGACACGCTCTTTCTGAATATGGAATATGCAAGTTCTTACAAAAACAATTGCTGAGCTTCTTATAATTTTGTCTTCCTATATTCATAGTAGAAGTCAAGTCGGGTCACCTAATACATTTTTATAGACCCCCGTTAACGAGTTGTGGACCCCCATTCTTTTTCAACGTAAGCGTAGACCCCTGTCGGGCTCCCGTGGACCCCTGGGGGTCCACCTGGACCACTTTGGGAATCTATGGTTTAGATTATACTTGATTTCATTGTTATAATTAATTATTATTTACAATGTCAACTAGTATTAATATGTTTTTACTGTTTATCTACTCATAAAGAACAAGCTTAAGTATGGAAGAGCCAAGCTTCGGCACGAACGGTTTGACTCAACCAGCGTGATACCTTAGCTTTACAGAAAATCGACATGAAACAACCACAGCGTTGCGTTTTGTGGCGCGTGAGTGAGGTTACTTCCCCTCCCCTATCTCTTTTCTCCCCAATTTCTAAATCAACTAAACCCTAATCCCCAAAAGGCCGGCAACGCAGACGTAACTTTTCCGGTGTTGCGGTAATCCATGGGCGGCCCCAATTGCTTACCATCAGGTAATCCGTCTGCACGTTTTTCGACCTATCAAATATAAAAAGAACCACTTTTTGCAAATCTGTATACGTCTAGTAGGGAACTTAGAGAGCGTTAAAGGTAAAAGTAATACATAATAATTAAATCCTTAAAAATACTTTTAATTGAATGAGGTTTTATACCTATAATTATATCACTCGACTCTTTAAGCTCGCGACTCTTAACTCGCAAAGTTTTAGGTAGACGAAATGTCTCCCTAGGCTAGAATCACGATGTTGCGAGGTGTTTCACCTCCAGATCTCGGTTATCCTTGTTATACATTTATTAATGATTGAAAGAACAATCAGAAGTTTGACAACATGCCTGATGAAGGGATGAAGCATGCCGTATCATTGATATCCAGTCTAACACAGTAAGGCTATAGAAACCCGTCTGAGTAAATAAAAAAATAAAGACAAAAAAGTTTTGATTCGCTAAAAAACAAGAGACAAGCGCAGAGTATTAGACTTTAGATGAACGTGGTGATGAGCACCGGTTCAGCATGTGCAAGGCTTAGCCTTGCGCTGGCATTCTATTTACCTCTTGAGAGCAATTCACGAAGGACAGGCAACCATATACAGCCAAAAATATACCAAATACAAAACAGCAATTAGGTGCATTTTATTCAAAAAGAAAATAGTATTGACATCGACAGGTTAAGGAGCCCGCTTCTCATGCATGAGGGTGTGGGTTCGAAACCTAGCAAGTACCAATGTGACTTTTTCCGAGTTATATGTACTTTCTATGATTATTTAGACACCACTGACATTCGGTAAAGGTAAACATCGTGAGGAAAACTGGACTTATAATTTCTAATTATAAGTTTGAAATCGCCAACCCGCATTGAGAAAGCGTGGTGATCAATGCTCTAACCTTTTGCGTATGAGAAGAGGCCTTTGCTCAGCAGTGGGCACTTATAGGCTGATGATGATGATGATGATGATGATTGACATCGAAAGTATTTTTCACGTTCAATGGGTATTCAAATAAATAAAATACCATCAAAAATAGACTAAGCAAAATATCCGTCTTAATCAATGTTGAAAAGTTTATAAAGGTAATTTCAAAACAGGTGTTTTGCATTGTATGTACAACATATGCGAGGAATTTCTGGCGTGGGAATACTCAGGGGCACGCTTGTAATATGCTAATTAATCTAATGACTTTCAAAGTAAGAGTTACCCGACCCGTTGTTAATAAAGCGGAAAGCCCTTTACAGTTTTATTAAGTCCTACTAATATTAAGTATAGAAAGTTTGTTAAAATATATGGATGTGTGTTTGTTATTCTTTCACGTGAAAACAGCTGGGCTTATTTGGTTTAAATTTGGTATGTAAAAATGAGAAAAAAAGCCTATGTGTTAATCCATCCGATTAACACATAGGCTTTTTTTCTCATTTTTTCTTTTAAAAACGTTGCACCGCACTACTATTTTCTCCTATATCGTGGGTGCGGTTACAATCATACAATTTCACATACACATGACACCCAGACCCGGAACAACAATTTGTGGATCACACAAAGAGTTGTTCCGTGCGGGAGTCGAACCCGCGACACGTTGCACGGCAGCCAGTTGCCCAGCCACCGCACCAACCGTACAGTTATATTAACAAAATATATTTCTTTTGTTACAGGACCTCATCCCAACTCAGGAGACAGAGTCCTACCTCCAAAAGACCCAAAATGCCATCACGAATCTACAAGCAAAACTACAGTCTTCTAGAACGAACAATTTCAGCAGCATTCCCTCAGCACTCACCTCCAGTCTCATCAGCGAGAAGACCGCGATCTCCCGCCTCCCGATCTCACAGCTCAGCCGTTCCAATTCACTTAACTACCGTCTTCGGAGAAAAGACCACTCAAATGACAGCAGTCCTCTTAGAAGTCCAGGTCACTACGTCATCACTGGGTCTACTAAAGTCCCTGAGAGCACGAAGATATTACTTAACTCTGCTTCAAGGTCTTTAGACACGGATAAAAGACATGATTTGAATATGAACAGTCCGTCTTCGGACCGAGGGTTGTTAAGTAATAGTTCTGATGACAAAACACTGTCAAATAGACCACCGTACGATGTAGAAGCTATATTGTCTCCTCACAGGAAGACGCACTCGCGGAACAGGGCATTTGAAAGCCAAACACACGATGTTAGCAACGCGAACCCTGCTGTATGCCTCAAGACAGTCTTGAAAAACAATGCCTTGGATTCAAAGTACCCCCGTATCGAACCAACACGTTGTCAAGGAGACAAGAAATGCCACCAGAGAGTATTAAGCGATGGCCTCAAATATAAACCGAATAACATCGGTTTCGGCTCATCGATTAAAAGATCGAGTTCATTCAACACAGTTAACAAGAATAATAATTATATCGATCCTAGAATTACCTCTAGAAGATCAAGTGGACATTCCGAAGAATATAAGGATTACTCGGATGAGTCTGACAACGGATCTTATGATAAATCGCAAGAATGTAGATACAAGAGGCAAGTTATAAACAGGGGAAGAATTGATTCACCAGATCTAAAGTCGGTAGCACCAGCAAATTCGCCAAGAAGATGTCCGAATACACCAGAAATGCATAGGAAATTCGGACCAGGATTAGTGCGAAATTCCGTAAGAGTAACCAATAAGGAGCGTTTGAGTCCAAGGGTGTCGGAACAGCCAATCGTGAGAGAAGAGAGAGTTAAGCCGACCAATCATCAAAGCCGGAGGTCAGCGGAACCGAGACAGACAACGATGGCTAGACTGACTAAATCTAGGTCTTCAACGCGGGAAGTTCAACCTAAACATCTAGATAAAGGTTAGTGCTTTTGTTTGAATCTAGGTTACGATTACTCGATGACTATGATCGATTGGGCAAGACTGTTGACGATTTGAAAGTTGCGTGACGACTGTAGAAAAAATAGACGTAATTTTGTTGAAAATCGAAAACAAATCTTTTCCTATGTTGCATTTATGTGAGGAATAACTTTTATATTCCTATAATTTTTACTGCTTGAAAATTCGATATTTCTTTACCATACATAATACAAAATGGAGGCTGATTAAATTCCAAGACTGTAACATTGCTTAACATCCTGTTAATGCCCTTTAAACAATGGCTGACAGCAAATTACACTTGCCCTTTACACAGCTGCAGATAAAGGAAACGAAATCAAAGGAGGCTCGTTACAAAACCTTCATTGAATAATTTCACAAGAGAGAATAACAATTGATAATTTCTATTTAACACACATACCGTTACTAATAGAGAATCGAGTTATCCTTGAATTGAGTCTATTAGGTTGTGGTAGTTAGCGATTCGTCATACTTGCAACACGCCGGCGGCCATCATGAATCGGAATGCGATTTGGCGCCAAATTACATTTTGATTTTGACAGATTGTTTTTTTAATGCGTGATTTTGTATTTTTTTTTATATATCATTGATTTGAGTTGAGTTTGAGTTTTACTTTCATTTTGTTTTAGTTACGACGATTTCTCTTACTTTTCCTTTACCCTATAGCGGTTGTGAATTAATGATAACATAAAAAAATTGTGTTCGGATGTCTGAAAATATTATAAATTGGTATTTTATACTATCTACTAACTTTTAAGTATTTACATAGTAAAGTACAATCTAAAAAGTTAAGACACCATAATATGTATGCTCAATATAATATTTCGATCCTATTAGCTACAGCAAAAGAATGCTAGTAAAAACACGACATTATATTGCCAATAGGCTGTAAGCGCCAACACCATAGCCATTATATTTTGATAACCGTAACGAATTGGCAGTATTGTCGATTACATCAGTATTGTAATCGATAAAAACTCGAATGACACACTGTATAGAGACATTAATTCGATTTGTTACGATCTTATTTGATTTTTCTTATGAATGAGATTTAAAATTGCAGTAATTTTAGTTAGTCTAGTTAGGTTAGGTTAGGTAATTATTTAGTTTTAGTATGGTCGTAGTCTTTGATTTTCAGAATATGCTTTTGATATCAGACATTTAAATGTTATCAGACACACCCATGTAATAATGGATGCAATTTTTGAAGGAAGTTTCCTAGGTCAAAAATAAATTAATGTGACGTTTCAATACAATAAAATATTGAAAAATAACTACCTATACTTTTTTCATTCATTTATCGATCTGTCAATTCAATAGTTTTTAGCTAATATTTAAGAATTAAATAAGATGTTTGATGCAAAAGTAAGATGACGTCAAATTTGGAGTTTTATACACAGAAAAGTATAGTTTTTGACATTTGGATAAAACTATTGAATTTGACGAATTGGAAGCTACCGTATTCCAGTAAATACGTATTTTCGAAAGTCAACCCTTACATTTCTTAGCCAAACTAGGAATTATATAAAAAAAAACTTATAACCTATTGAAGATGTGTCTTTCGACTTTCCAGGTCAAAAGAAAACCAGCCAGCATCGATCATCTTCAGCTCTAGCAACAAAAGAGATCGAATTCTCCAACTGGAAGAAGCGAGCGTCCTACGACCCCATGAAGGCGGCCCAGGAGGACAAAAGAAGGAAGCAACTAGCCAAACGTCAGGATTTCAATAAAGATGACTTGAGCTCACCCAGGTAAGAATATGTAAACCGCCAATGCCCAAAATGGGACAACGGAGTCCTAAGTCTTCTTAAATTGTGTATTTCCATGGGCAGTATTGCTATTTCTATGTTATAGGCCGGCAAACGAGCCGACGGATTACCTGATGGTAAGCAATCGGCGCCGCCCATGGACACCCAGAACGCAGGAGTTAGGAGTGCGTTGTCGACCTTTTAGGGATTCGGGATTTGGAGATTTAGGGATTGAGGAGGGATTGCGGGAGGGAAAGGATTGGGCTTCCGGTAACCTCACTCACACGGCGAAACACTACGCTGGGTTATTTCACGCCAGTTTTCTTTGAGGCCGTGGTATCACTCCGGTCGAGCCGACCTATTCGTGCCGAAGCATGGCTCAAATTGCTTACTATCAAATGATCAGTTTGCCTACTTATTTGTCTTGTTTATTTACTTACTAGCTTTTGCCCGCGACTCCGTTCGCGTGGAGTAGTCACTTCCTGCAGATTTTTGGCCTTTGCTCGAGTTCGAAACTATGTCTTTAACAAATTTCACAGAAAACGGTTCACTAGTTTAGGCGTGAAGAAAAGACAGACAGAGTTACTTTCGCATTTATAATATTAGTTTGGATTTATTTTATTAGGATCTTCGATAGAGAATACACATTAGGTACATGTAAAATATTAAAAAAAAAATACATTTTTAAAAGTCGTGTGCTCCTCCTATTTTTATATTATTATGCCATGTAACTTATTAAATTTGATTTACGGCTACTCCCGTATAGGATTTTAAAGATTTTTCTAAAGGAGATCGAAGCTTCGGCACAAATTGGTCTACACGACCAGAGTGATAACACGGCTACACAGAAAACCGACGTGAAACTACCGAAGCGTTGTATTTTACCGTGTGAGTAAGGTTAATGAAGGCTCAATCCTTCCCGTCCCCCTATCCCTCCCCAATCCTTTAAATAACCGAAACCCTAATCTCCAAAAAGCCGGCAACGCATCGTTTGGTGCTGCAACTGTCCATGGGCGGCGCCGTTTGCTTACCATCAGATTGTCGACCAATCACATAAAAAAATAAAAATAGTAGGATCCTCTGGAATATCAGGTAGAAAGTCCATCCAATTAATTATCTTTTAAACGACTAGACAGCATTTTGTAATCGTAAATTCGATACGCTACGTTAGCCGAGTCCATCAACTAAGTACACTGTTTTTTTATGTTCATGTTGGCAGGTAGTTTTTTATTACAGTACATATAAACTTCTAGAAATTACTAGAAGCATCTAGTTTTTAATTTATTCAAGAGTCTTTACTGTAGATCAATGTCAAAGTTTAAGTATGGGAGAGCCAAGTTTCGGCACGAATGGGTCCCTGCTATCCCTTCCCAATCCTTATATCCGCAACCCCCATCCCCAAAAGGCCGGCAACGCACTCGTAACTCCTTTGGTGTTGCGGGTGTCCATGGGCGGCGCTGATTGCTTACCATCAGGTACTCGATAAGCTCGTTTGCCGACCTATCACATGAAAAGATAATAATATAAGTCTGTTGATGAAGCTATTTGCTCATTCTAAAGTGTATCTAAATTGCTATGAAATATTATCAAACACGATGTGATATTCCCAATGGATATTCCCTGATTTCGAAATTGGAAAAAATCTTCCAAACATTCTAGGTGGCCATGCCTTATCGGCTAATCCCAGACCATACATACCTGTTACAATTTTCAGTATAATAACTTATTAAAATATAACCTATACATAAGTAGTTTTAGATTTTTTCTACCTGATTTTTTAGAAATTAATATGTTATTTGACGTAAAAATTTTATGACGTCATATGTTGCGGTTTCATACAAAGTTCATAGGAAAGTCTCATCTTTGACATTTCAATAAAAGTATTGAATTTGACTACCTAGTTGGAAATTACCGTATTTATTTTATGAAACAATGCCATCTATTGGATTTACTGTCGAACTTATGATCCAAAAACTGATATCGATTATATTTTTTTTCTTCCAGCCATTCTTCACCAGTCCACCGCTCACAATCGTTCCACACCAACAACATAGCAGATCTGGAAACCCTGGACTACTCTTCGGAAGAAACAGAGGATGACCAGATGCTGGTCACTTTGCCCGTGGATCCCATGGTCACATCCACTCACTCGGATATACTGGATTTGAGGCCTAAAGACTATAGTAACTTGAGGAGACAAGCCATGACCAATGACGTGGTTCTGTCCAGAGATTACGTTACTAGTTTTCAGGTGAGTCCAAAATGTATTTTTAGTCGATTTTAACAGACTTCTTGGCTAGTCGTTTTTTTTGCCTAGAATTAAATGTTTTTCTAATTGGAGATTGATTCCATAAACTTCCTAGGATAATATTTTTACCTGATTCTAATTATATGATTATAATCATTATAGGTAAATGATTTTTCTATCAAACATTTAGATAATTAAGGTACTAGAAAAGGCACTCTTATTAAAATTCCGAACAAAACAATTATTAAAAATGAATGACACAGTAAACAAAAATAAGGACGCAAGCAGAGTATATATATTTTGTTTATGCATTTTAACTCACAAATAACTTTTAAATAATTAATTTACAGATAAACCAATCATCGCACGACAAAAAAAGGCGGGAAGCGCGCGAGGCAGATAAAAGAAAAACATTCATCATAGACGATATAACTCCTACCAAAGAGAACATAGACTTCTTGACAAAGACTAGAGAGGATTCAGCCACAGATAAACGCAAAACTTTTATTCTCGACAGCGATACTAATTCCACAACGAATGGTAGTAGTCCAAGGAATTCTTCAATATTTAGCCATGAAAAGAATTCTTTGACCACGGGCACTAGTGATACGGAAGGAGAGAGTGGAACGGAAAGCGCTCCTGTAGTGATGAGGCATCAAGGAGGGAAGAGGAGTGCGCCTGTGCAGGCTAAACAGAGGTAAGTCGTTATTAACTTTATGATCAGCCTGATTTCGTCCAGTGTTGGATATATATAGGCCTCCCCAATTGCACGCCACTGAGCTCGATGTTTAGCTCTTCTCATCCAACCACTGTCAATTATATTGCCGTCCATCTAAAAAAACTTAGTTTTAATCTAGCAAAATATACCTATTTTCCTTTGTACGTAAAGCCAGAACTATAGAATTTTTTCTTGTAAGGGGAAATAATCCAATAACTTTTCCCGCCCAGGCGAGAGGGAGTGTCACAATCTTATCAAATGACACCCACTCCGCTCCCCCTGTTCTTTGGCGTTTGCCCCGCAACTCCGGTTGAAATAGTATACCTACATTACCAAAAACGTAGTAATAAAATAACAAAAAACATTACAATGTTATGCATAAAAAGTATGTAAATCGGATATATTACAGTTTCTTCAAAGATTATTTCTATTAATGCATATCACTGTTTATCCCAAATATCACAATATTATTATTATCTTAGTATTTCCAAACCTCTTAATTTCAGGTACAGCGGTGACTACTCAATGTCATCGTCAACGACCTCGATCAGCCAACGGAAGCCGACAGTCCAGCCCCGGTACCTGGACATCTCCAAGTACAAGAACGAACAGTCCCCGAAGAACTTCCTCCGAAGGGATCCCAGTAAGACTTACGTAGGGGTGCTCAACAACGACAAGGCTGTCAGCAAGGGGAGCGCTCAGCATTATGAAATGGGTGAGTTATCGACCGACAACCACAGCGTTGTGTTTTGCCGTGTTAGTGAGGTTACCTGAGGCAATCCTTCCCAATCCCTAAATATCCGCAAAAGGCAAGCAATGCACTCGTGACTCCTTTGGTGTTGCTGGTGTCTTTGCCGGCGCCGATTGCTAACCATCAGGTAATCCGTCTGCTCGTTTGCGGACTTATACCATAAAAAAATCCACCCGCCATAAAAAAAATTGACATTTTTTTGTCTTTGGTCTTAGTTGTTCTTATAATATAAAATTTTGGGCAATATTAGAGGAGAAAATTGAGCAAAAGTAGAGGTGACAATTGGGTCATAGCGGCCCTATCAAGGTAGTTGGACACCCGGTGCGAAACAGGGTCGGGCCGCTAGTTACTAATAAAATCAATTTATAATGTTACAGAACAAAAGAAACAAGAATTAGAGAAGTGGAAACGAAGGGCTTCGTACGACCCGAGGAAGGCGGCTGCACTCGGAAAGTCGAATAAGACGCCGTCAAAGACCGCTAGGTAAGTCCACTATCTTACATTTTTCATTAACTTTATTATTAGCTATAGCTGATGAAAAGTTAGGTATTTCAAATAATTCATGTTCTACTGTCAGGGTTATAATGAATAACTATTTAATACGGGCCTAAAGGATATTCGGGGTATACTAATGAAGCAACTAAATATTTAGGTATTATTCAGAATTTACATGTTATAGTTTATAGGTATCTTTTTGTTTGCGATATATTATTGTTATTATAACATTTTTTTTGTTCCCTTTAAGTTGTAAATATTCTTTTAACATTTCATTTTATTTTAACGTATTCGTATAATTAAGATTAATTAGTTTAACGATAAGATTAAAACATTATTTGTTGTAAATTTTAGAACGTGACAATACTCAAAATGCATGCAATTCCGTGTAAGTGACATGCTGGCCGCCATCTTGACGTGTAAGGTTAGTCTTATGTCAAAGTGACAGCTGCGGCGACCGGGGCATTTTCTATTCGAGAGCTGTCAAACTTTATTGGCACTATGATGGGTGTATTTGTTTTTTAAATTTCGCTTTGAGTGCTTTACACTTTTATGATGCTGTAATTCTTGGTTTTTCATGTACTTACGATTTTAAGCTTATGTAATTTCTTTCTCGATTAAATTTACTGTTTATATGTATATGGTATTGAAAAATCAAGATGTTTGCTTATTTAACGCTTCGTCTACACTTATTCGTAAAAAAACTAATCCAATTATTTCTATTGGCTGGTTAGAGCTACAGGAATTTGGTGCAATTGTAAATAATGCAGATTTTTCGTCATTTTTTACGCTTTATAAGTTATTGTCACTGGGTTTATACACTATCCTGGTATATTTGTTTTCTTTTTTTTCCTTTCTTGGTGTTAACATGTAAGCTAGACTAACCATAAATAACAAAGCACATACAAATTAACAATTATGTGTGAGTTCAATCCAACCCTTTAATGTAAGGCTTATTTTTAAATGGCTATATACCTACAAAACTATCTAATTTAGATTCCCTCTAAAATTAGTAAGTCACTCGTGCACTTATGCACTTAGAATAATAAAAAAAAATTGCAAAATTAGAAAAAATACACTGTCATCATGTCTTTTCATGTCAATGTCATGTCAATCTTGTCTTTTTTTTTCACGTGTTGATACGTGAAAAAAAAGACAAGATTGACAGATCTTTTGACAGATGTCAATTTTGGCAGCTGTCAAATTTGATACTTAAAAATTAATAGTTTTTTCTCTCTCAACAGTAGCGTGCTTCGCTCACAATCCTTCCATGGTCCTGTCACGGCATACACAGGGCTTCGCCCCCCGCCCCCGGACCAGATCTGCGAGACGTATGACGCTTCTAGTGACAACGATTTCTAAACGACATTGTCGACTTCGATATGTGATAGGCCGCGTTTGTATTTGTTAGGCTAGTCTGTCACATTTGTATTCGCTAAGAACTAATAGGAAAATGGCATTATACATTTTGATATCAAAACCCTAGCCGAGCAGAAAAAAACATATATTACTCAAAATTTAACTAAGTGTGTAAAACATATCTGAAATCCGCCCAAACTATAGCAACAATCATAAATTAAGATAAGTACCATAAAAAAAATCTAGTCGTTTTCCGTGTTACAAATTCTAACCAAGTTTAGAAAATTCTAGACAAAAAAAATACAAATAATATTTATTTATCGGATAGGGTTTTCTTGACAAATTATATAACGTCATTTTTCAAAAAACAGTTTGTCGAAATGATCTCTCATTTGTTTTTCGACGGATATAAACGGTTTAATAGCGAATTCAAATGAGGAATACAGCGCAGTGTGTTCAATACATTTGTTAGTGTTAAGAGTTGGTTGTCGAAACAAAATTACAATACCCTGTATACTTTGGCTCGACGCAAACTGGATAGAAGCGGTTAGCACTAGTTTTTCGCAATGATACGCATAATATTGCTGTATTTCTTTATCTGTCTGTTTTAGAACGCGGTTAAACTTGATTTTGAACAAGTCTTTGTATTATTTATTTAATATTTAAAATGAAAAATTATAAAAAAATGATGTTACAATTTCATTCGTTGGCAGTGAGTTTTGTTAAGTATTAAATGTTTTTGCATGTCAATTTATGATTGAAATTTTGAAATATAAGGAGAAGTACATAATTTTATTTTGTTGATTGTGTTAAATAAGTCATTATTAAGATGTATTGTAACATCAAATAGGCGATTCTGTATTTGGAGAATGTATAGGTAACTAGGTATTAAATTATTTAAATAAAATAAATATTTAATTTGATAAAGCGAAAAAACACAATTTGTACAGATTAAGAAATCTCGATTGTCTGTTTTAATTAAAAATTCAATGATTTATTTAAACACAAAATTTTAATTAATAATTTCAGATAAACTAGGTAAATTATGAAATGTCATAAATTTGATTTTGAACAATGACACCAACGCTCTCGTAGTTTTCCCGCCAAATACAGAACAATGAACTAAAGCCATCTTTCGAATGATTTATGAAATTCAAGTCATAATTTTTAATTATTTGACGATTCTTATGAAAACTTTGATTATTTGGGAGCGATGCAATTTTTTTTATATATTATTATTATTTATAAGTTATTCCGCACAAAACGAAATTCGTTAAATGTCATAAAACTGCATCGCCTTTACATAATTTTAATTTTTATACTGAAAGTACTTGATATCTTTTTTGTGTTTTGTAAAATATTATTTTCTAGTAAATTTAAGGTTGTTAATTAAGGAAACGTATAAAATAATAATAATTAAATGTGATTTATTAATAATGCCTACGTTATCTTTAGAATTGGCGATTATTATTTACCACTAAAAGTGTATGAGATTAGTATTGTCTTTTTTCTCTATTATTGTCCGTCTTAGGTGAATTTAGAATAAATTCTCACTAAACTAATGTAATAATTATCCCTTTATATTGCTCATATCATTCATACATCGATTTATATTAGTAATATATGTAACCTCTTTTTAGTTGTTAGTGTTTTCTTATTGTGCAATACCATCACATTGATAACAAAACCTGCTAGAAATATGAACAAATATTTTCGTTTATATTTTTGTAAAATTTCGGTATTAAAATGTATTATTTTTTCGGTATTCTCAATTTTTATGTATAAAGAATTATTTTTGCGTCATTTTTTTTTCTCAACTTGAAGAGCGACAGTATTTTTTGCAATCTTTTAAATGTGTAGATGCTGTGGAAATATTTAGAGACCTGCTGTTATATTATTATTGGTTTAAACCTGCCAGGCTTGATACTGCACTGAAAGCTACATGCAAACTAAATCTTCTTACTATATAAAATATAGGGCATCTCTTTTACTTTAAAATATTAATTTATTGAAGTAAATTCAATGAATTTTTTTAGTTTTTTGGTTATTTCGTACGTGGAACAATATTGGAAAAAATAAACGTGTGGAAGAATATTTAGTTTTTCATTTTATTTTACTTAATAATATTTTAAAGTAAAGAGATAATCTAGATCATAACTCAAAAGTCTGCTATAATGTTTTTAACTAAACGTATAAGGTTTTAAGTTTACAATATCATCATAAAAAAAATAAAAGCCATTTTGACATTACCTACTCGATGACATTCAAGATGGCGGATTTTTTGTGTGGGAATATTGTGAATTTATTTATCTCAATTTTGAGTAGTGATTTTAATATTTAATTAATTAGTAGTAAGCCTGGCTTTATTTCAATGAGCGCGATTACTGTACCATAAACGCTGCAAGCGTTAAAATATTTGTAAAACATAATTGATGTTTAGAGTTTTGTAAAAATATTATTTAAATAGGAAAGAAATAAAAAGAACGTTTAAAATAAATTATGTATTTCATTTTTTTTCCTGATGTGCTTCTGCAATAAAAAATCTGCAATATGCAAAAAATGGCATGTTTGGCGCTCAAGGATCATCCCTTGACATCCCTTTAAATAAAGTGGGCATTACGGAGTTCTACCCATTTTGTTGAAGATGTACGCTCCTGAATTCGCACCAGTCTAAACGGGCCTTTTTCGGCTCTCCTACTCTTAAGGTTTCAGGCTCTAATGTCTTTTTGGATATGGCGAAGGCTTTCGACACAGTATTTAGCGTCTGCTTCAAAAGAAGTTGGAAAAGATACGTGGAATTACCTCTCCAACTTTTTCAAGATTTCCTAACTAATAGAACTAAAACTACAAAAATTATTAACCACATCAGCAGTCCACTCCAAGTAACATGTGGTGTGCCCCAGGGCTCTGTCCTTGGCCCGAGACTCTTCCTTATTTATGTAGACAATCTCTGTTGTTATATTCCATCAAATGGAATTTTCTTCTCTTACGCTGATGACACAGCACTTTTATTTTAGAGATACTTGGGCCGAAACTAGCTCTTTTGCTGAAAAATCAAAATTAAAATGCTCCGTCAAATATCAAAATGGCAATACTTAAACCTACTAACCCGAAATGTAAATAAATCCAAATATTTAGTAATATTACTTTTCAATAAATAAATCCACTCAACCAAAGTGCTAATAGTTTCTTCCTTAAAGTACACTTATGCAACAATGATAACTCAATACCTGCTCCTATCCTCTCCTTACTAGAACCAACAATATAAGGTACCTTGGCGTCCACCTCAATGATACACTATCCTGGGATGCTCACCTGGAGTATGATACTCTTATCAGCTAGAGTACGCCAGACGAATTGGATAAATATTAAAAAAAAAAACTCCAAAACGCAGTCAAACCAGTACTTCTAGAAACTGTTTATTAGTTCCTGATTTATTCGATCATACAGTATTGCTTATCGGCTTGGTGTGAAATCGAAAAAGTACAAAATCTTTGCCTTTAGGGTAATGTTACGAAAAGCCTTTTTTTCATCCAACTCATACACTAAACAGAGAGTCCCAAATTATGACGGTAAGACCATTTGTCTTGCATGCTACGCTCCGCAAACAAAAAGAGGTTAAATATGATCCAAAACCCAATCACTCCTCACGTAGAAGAAACAGGATCTGTGATTCCGTTGCGAATGTGAAACCGCCTTTTCTAGCACTTTACCTCAATAACAAAATTAACTCCGAGAGGTTTTACGGACAGTTCTACACCTCAACACGGCAACCATTTGTCGGCACGGCTCGGGACCCAAGAATTAAACTTACTTACACGGCACTACACTGATAGATACCACCCAGATAGCAGCCTGTTCGAAATTAGGGTGACTCTCAAACAGCTTAAAAACAACAAGGCACCTGCGATGACGGAATCACAAAAGAACTTCTGCGAACTGGTGGAAAACCTACACTTTCAGCTTTCCAAAAGTTATTTAATTCCGTTATACTCGAAGGAACTATGCCGGAAGCATAGCAAAGGAGAGTGGTGGTTTTTTTCTTTAAGAAAGGAGATGGATGGTACGAATGGCTCGACCGGAGTGATACCACGGCCTCACAGAATGCCGGCGTGAAACAACCACAGCGTTGTGTTTCGCCATGTGAGTGAGGTTACCGGAGGCCCAATCCCGCCCCTTCCCCTATCCTTTCCCGATCCTTATATCCGCAACCCCTATCCCCAAAAGGCCGGCAACGCATTCGTAACTATTTTGGTGTTGGGGTGTCCATGGGTGGCGCCGGTGCTTCATCATCAGCCTGTAAGTGCCTACTGCTGAGCAAAGGCCTCTTCTCAAACGGAGAAGGTTAAGATTAATCACTACGATTGCTTACCATCAGGTAATCCGTCTGCTCGATTACTCGACTTATACCATAAAAAAGGCAAGAGAAAGGAAGACGTGATATCTCCGAAATTGTTTACGAACGCATTGCAGGACGTTTTTAATCTCTTGAACTGGAGTGGATATGGTATCAATATCAATGGCGAATACATCACTTATTTTCCGATGATATTGTTCTAATGGCAGAGTCGTTGGAGGACGTGAACACGATGCTCAGCGACCTCAATACAGTTTCCTAGCTGGGTTTAAAAATTAACATGGACAAGACTCCTGAAATATCCGAAACCTTCTTCCCTGAAGGGCCGGCAACGCACTCGTAACTTTTTTGGTGTTGCGGGTGTCCATAGGCGGCGCTGATTGCTTACCATCAGGTAATCCGTCCGCTCGTTTGCCAATCTATACCATAAAAAAATCTAAAACTAATGTTGCACACAAGTACATCGCTCCTAACAATAGCCGGCATGTACCGGTTATCGTTATAGACTATCTACTGTACATATCTAGGACCGGGTATAATATATCCTGCAAGTTGTAGATACTTGGCCGGGGTTGCGAGTTAAGCACAATAAGTCGCCGCGGCCTCGGCCCAGAGCAGGAGAAGGAACGGGGGGGTTTTTTGATAGTAAGAGTCTGACACTCTCTCCCGCCTTACCCTGGGCGGGAGAGGTCATTTGATGAAATCCCGCAGTGTCTTAAAAACACGGTGTACCTACAATCAGTGTGTGTTGCCAATGATTACATACGGTACAGAGACGTGGTCCCTTACTTCTGGTCTGTTAGAGAGGCTTAAAGTCGCCCAGCGTGCGATGGGAGCGATGGTAGGAGAAGGGGTAGGCGATGGATAGGGGAGCGGGGTAGGTTTTGGGTCTCCGATAAGCTCACTCACATTGCAAAAGGTAACGCTGTGTTTGCTACAATTTTTCTGTGAGGCCGTGGTATCACTCTAGTCGAGCCGACCCGTTCGTGTCGAAGCTTGGCTTCCATACTTATCTACATATATTTTAATACAATATTTTCTATGATATGAAGTCCTATTACGATATAGTGGGCTGACAGCAACCATAAGTGCTTCCAGAATTACTTTCCTGATTGTCCTAGCTTACAAAAATTTACTCCACATGTACCTATAATTTAAAACAAATCTATCAAGGATCTTTCGTTTTCTTGAGAACCTATTTAGTATTAATTGGACCTTTGGCCTGGAGCTAGACCAAAGGTCCTTAAGCTCCCATCAACAGCAATTTTTAAGGCGATAAGTTTTTGTATTGAACGAGCTATCTAAGGCTACGCCAATGTACTTATTTTTATCTATACTAATATTTTATAGAGGTAAAATTTGTAAGTTTATGTGTTTGTATGTAGGGGGTAATCTTTGGCACCGCTGCCGCTGGTAGGAAAATTCGTTCACTGATAGATAGCTACAATATTCCTGAGTGCTATAGGCTATACAACATCACGCTACGATTAAATGGTGCTGAGCAGCGGGTGAAATCGCGCGAGAGTGCTAGTATTTTATATGTGGGTCCACTTCCACCAAGGTCATTCCCCGCTGGGGGATCATTTTTTTTAAGAATTTTTGTCTCCACATCGTCCCTTGTGTGGTATTGTTTCTTATGTGACATTAACTAACTTGTACCTATAGCACACTATAATATAACTTGAAAAAGATGTCTTGTCAATCTGTGAGTGTTTTTGTCCCTTTTGCCAAATTGATAATAACAACATTGTACAATGACAAAATCTAAATCGATAAAAGCGCTATCTAGGGAACTAGGGAATGCAAACATTATAAAAGTGTACATAATTCTAGAAAAGTAAATATATTCAAAGTAGGGTGATAGAAAAAGGATAAGAAATGAAAACAAGACATACATTTATTAATAATGATTTTATCTTTGAATATCAATTACACTTTTTTGTTTTATTGTTATTTTATAAACTTTACATATTCATTTCGTATTTTATATACCATATAATATATAAAGTTTCATTACTAATTATTTTAGCATTACATTACCTAACACAAGGGGACACGAAACGATAAGATACTGCATTTTTTGTATAGAAACCTAAAACGCCAGACATTTTTGTTAATGTTAAACAATTTTTCGTTGTTTTTCTTTCAAACCAGTACACAACACTTAATTTATCAACTAAAACGTTATGAAGAATAACATTTCAAAGTCACTCGATTTTTTTTTCAATAAAAAGGAACTCTTTACAACTTTCTTTCACTTTTTTCATCCGTTTTACTATACTTACTTCACAACCACATTACATATATTTTTTTTATATAAAAAAAGGTTTAATAAGATTCATTACTAGTTCAAAAGTAACTTCTAAATTGAGCAAAGTTTGAAGTGACAATAAAACGTTATTCGTCAAGAATTATACAATTTCAAATTTTTGCATTTTACATATTCTTTAAAGTCGTCTTACCGCGACTACATTGACGTTTCACTAATTCTTGATTTTTCCAATTTAATAATTAAATTATTAACAACAATAATGCTTAAATAAACATCAAATTAACATGGCTAACTCAAACGGCGATCACTTCTCGAGTTTTTTTTTTGTATCTAAATACAATAATCACACATCGCAGAAAAATACAAATTAAAAAACAACATCTGTATCTGTACATTATTTTTACAATATTAAATATAATTAAAACTATTTTTTTAAATATACATTTTCAATGAACTTTCACGAACATTTCTTGGATAAAAAAATTGATAATACTAACGTGAATAATTCAGCAATAGCTTAAATATAGCTTAGCTTAGATTTAGGACATCTTAGTCAAGAACGTGACTTAGAATTTCACGTATTTCAAGTCACGATTAGGTATTTTTTCTACTTCTCAAGTCTAAAAGACGACTTAGAAGATACCTAATAAATTCTTGTGATGTTATTAAATGTAAGCTAAGCTATAAAAATGAAAATCTACACACAGGTATATCATTATACAAACAAGAAATAATTTTGTCATAAACAATAGATATAGGTACACTTATAATTCAATTTTAAAAACTAAACTAAGCTACCTCTTTCTTCTTGAGTATCTTGTAGCTTGGCATACATTTTAAATTAAATTAAATTTATTTTAAACACAATTTTTCAACTACAACATTTAAAAATCAAATTTCAATGTTACCATCCGAACATTTTATTTCGAATTTGACAGAAGCTCACTGTCCCTTTCTCATACTGTATGCTAGTAAGAGATAGCAATACTCGTCAATCAAGGACAAGAGGATGTTTTTTTTAATACCAAGAAAAGTTAAAGATGGATTCTTTTAACGGAAATAAAAGAAAATTACCATGATACCCTGTAATTTCATGCCTATAACGTAACTAAATGCATATCAAGTAGGCAGTTATAAAACTAAACGGCACTACTACGAGTGAACATAATAAAAACCATCCTATCTTAAACTATCTTACAGTAATTAAAGCATTCATGTGATTCCACACACTTTTAATTTCAAATATATATATATATAGATATATAATAAATCTATTTTTTTATATCTTCTAAGTGTATATTTATATATTATGGCAAATCTAACAACACTAAACGAAAAACCTCCAGAATTTTCTTATTCAATTAACATCACATAAAGTTTTTTTACAAATAAAACAAATACAGTTGTTTTTTTTTTGTCAATTTTAAATTCATGTACATCTACGCGATACGTTATATATTTTCGTATTTTTTTTTTTTGTTAATTTATAAAGGGCGGATGTACAGAAATACCTACGTTTTATTATATTTACAATCATTTTTTAAGCGACTACAGTCTCTATTCTATGAATGAGAAAGGGACCATTCGTGATTTTTTTCTTGTCGGTATACGTACCTACATACTTCGAAAAAAAAATCATACCTACTCATTTTTTAGGTATGTTTACACATTGGAAAAAATTTACTTATACAATTGTCAATTTTTTCGTTTAATTTTTTTTTTTGTTTATGTAATATTGTAAAAAAAACTACGAAAGGTCCTGTGTTTATTTTTTTTTAACAAAAGTATACAGAACGGTATAATTCGTTTGCGTTACCCACCAACGTCTTACTTCTAAGACGTCGATCGCGTGACCTTATAATATAAGTTTTTAATGTATAAGCAATATAATTTCGCCTGTGCGTTTGTTTTCCAAAATATGTTGTTTGACAAATTATTTGTAGACTCTCAAACATTTGAGCAAATGTTTCGCTTGATGTAAACTTGTTTAAAATTCGGTATAAAATTGGATCTAATACATAAAAACATTTCCACAAACATTTGAAAGCCAATACACGAATGTTTGGCGAAAATAAAATTACGTAAAAAATACAAAATATTGTATCAGGTAAAAAAATTGCCACTAAGCCCAGTTTATTTACAAACGTCCATTTTAAAATTACACAACTGATTTTTTTCATTTAAAAATATCTAAGTAGAAAAACTAAGTGATTTATTCCATCTAGGTAATATTTTCTTTGCAAAACATTGAGCTAATTGAGCAACAATAAACTATGACTATAAGCAACAAGGAAGCCATATTGTTCAAATAAACTACTAACCGTAACGAAAATAAAAACATTTTGTACACGTATACGATAAAAATACAAAAATTTCAAAATAAATATTTTATTTAATATTCTCTTCCATCACAAAGTCTATTATTATTAAAAATATTTACAACTAGTAATATGTAACATTTCACTGAGTGTCTCGGTGGCACAGTCCAAACACAACCGTCACTGGAGCGCTCTAACAGCTGATCTCGGAGTCGCCGACGTACTCGCCGTTACTACCCTGTTTGTTCACTATATTCCTATCGTCGAACTTCTTGCTGGCCTGGTTACTGCTGGAGCTGGACGACGCGTTGTCGCTGTCTGCGTACGGCACGTCCGTCATCGGCCCGTTCAGCAAGCTCGCCGCCGAGTTCGATTGTTTTAGCTTCCCCTTCTCCTCCTTCGGCTCGGTTTCTTTTGGCAAGTCATCTATCACCGCCTTCTTAGGATCAATCTGTATAGTTTTTGATTCGGACAGCTTATTCGGTGTGACGACGTTTATGTATGGCGGCAATATGTTCATAGTTGTCAAGTTCACAGATCCACTATTTTTTTTCAACGCATTTAGGTTTTGCTCTAGTTGGGCCGCGTCTAAGCAAAGTGGCTTTGGTTTGGGCGTGAATTTTGGGGCTTCTTTGGCCCACGCGTTGATGCGTGGTGGATCCGGAGACGCTATTGGAGCTGTTTTCCGTTCTGGCATCAATGCATTCTTGTGGTTAGTTTTGTCAATGACGTTTGTTTCTATAGCTTTCGATAAAGCGTTCTCAGGCGGTTTTGGCGAGGTCGGGGTTATGCTTATTAGTTTCTCAACCTGGAAAAAATATTGGGAAGAATTGACAAATGATTAATAATTTAAGTAAGGCTCATCATTTTGTACTCATTTGTGCCTTACTACAGGAATAAGCTTTTTTAAATAGGGTTGTGTACTCACTGCTGGTCCATTGTCGATGCTCTGTCGCGGCGTAGCGTTGCGTGGTGGCTCGGTGAACGATGTCTCCCAAATGACCGGCTTGTCGTCAGCCTCCGGTGTTATCTCGTCCAGTGACGGACCCTCTACTGAACTTAGCAATCTGTAATATGACAGGTAGAATGAAGTGTTTGTACATATTATATGTGGCACAATTGTGTGCAACACTTGTCACTTATGAATCTTATGTAGTATGGGACCCAACACCATTCTCGACAATGCTAATGATGATGATAGAATAAAATCAATTCTAAACCTTAAATCTGACTACTTCTTCAAACCCTTTTCTCGCCAACGAATTCAAATAGTCTATATTTTCTAATTAAAACTTTACTTTGTACTTTTAAAATATACAAATTTGTGAATTCATAATAATCTTAGATTTATAGTTACTCACCTATCTGTTGAATTAGACGGCAGAAACTTTGTTGTGGTCTTTGTCTCGACGGCGGAGGTAGCGGAGGCATCGCGCCTTGTTGCGCTTGCGCCGCTCCGGGACGCCATTGGAATGTTGCCATATTCTTGTGATGCTATAAGATACAACAATATTATAATACGATGATGTAGCTTAGCTGAATTTTTGGTAGAAAATCTTTGTGTTGTCGAATTATTTATTTTAAACAAAACAAATTGAAATTGAAGTTGAATTGAGTCAAATTGAGATTGAAGTGTTTCATTAGTCTCATATTTAACAATATAGGTGTTGTCCGTTGCACCTTTGTGAAGCTAAATATTGAGAAGACCCAAATCAAACCAAATCCCCAAAAGGCGGAGGCACTCGTTCCTCTTCTGGTATTTTGGGGGCCCAACCCAAGTTTACCATCAGGGGATCCGTCTACTCATCGGCCATCCCATTCTATAAAAATCTCAATTTTGTCAAGAAGTCAACAAGACTATGCTCTGTTCCTTTGTTGACAAATGAAGGGTCGTGGATAGTGCGCGTCTCATTTCAGATTTATAAAATTCACGATGCTTTAACAATAGGGGTCGTTCCAGGTTACATTCGGAATTGAAGTGGTGGGTGATTTGTTCCGTGCAAGGTCGCACTTTACATGATGAAAGGATTCTCATACTAGAGTTATTAATAACAATACCTTAAAAACCTCGATCTCATATTTGATTGATGGAACTCTTACGAAATATGAGAGATTTGCTAAATATTTACCCAATTGGAGAAGGGGTTTTGTGACTATCATTTAAAAATCGAAAGTCTATGTAAAATAAGTATGTTTTCTAATGCTTTTTCATGAATGATTGACATAGTTTACGTTAAACAATCGAGTTTTTGATAGGCATCTTTTTTTTGGACTTCTATATTTAGCGAATCTCACAAAACAAGAATGATAGGAGATGGATACCTTTCAGAAGAGGTGGATATTGTGAATCCTCCGTTACTGGTTGATCCTGTACCACCGTTTGCGATTTGCTATGAGGGACCAGCGGTTCCGTTGGGCTAAAACAATGTTGTTGCATTGATACGGCTGAAGGTAGACACGGGTTACAATGACTGTGCAAAGAAGCTTGTATTTGTGAATGATCTGCCAGTTGCTTCGATTAAACAAAAAATAAATACCTATACAATGGAAAAAACACCGAATTCTTTTGTATATTTCGATATCTTTCAAATAAAACTGGACCACCAAAATGGACGCAGTCGACGCAAACGCATCCAATTGGAAATTTCTATTTTTGTACTTAGTGTTCTTTTGTTATCGTGAGGACCATAAAGGTTTGTATGAAAGGAAAATTCGATAGATTCACAGGGAACACTGGGAAATAGCAACCAGGCGAATCTACGGCGCACTGCTAGTTCAAAATAATAAAAAACAGTATCTTCAAGTTGAAACTTCACGTTTTCTGCCAACGCGGTCCACGTTGACCGACATTATCAAAATCAAAGCGTAATTTTTTTTTTTAGAATACTTCTAATATAAACTGGATTGATACAGCTTCTCGTTATTAACATAAAAATATATGAATAAAAAAAAACGTTGTTTCCGCGTCGAAGCAACAAGCTTTAAAAAAAAACAGATAAATAAAAAATGGAACATTAAGAATATTTTTTAAACATTTAATTTTAAATGAGACTGTATTATCTGATCGTGTTTTAAAGTCGCTGTTTAAATTATAAACATTGGCAGGTAAGGAACGTTCAGCGTCTAACACATGCTGCCACTGCTTCGCCTTTCTAAAGCAGTTTTATATATTTTTTACTTTATTTAAATATCGAAATTTTCTCAAAAATCTTTCTCAAAAAAGTAAAAAATATATACTAAACCTGTTTTTTTGCTATCCCTTATTTTAAATTTAGAACGAAAAACATAAAAGTCTGCCATTTTGAAAAAAAATCCGTTACAAAATGGCAGAGAAAATTTCGATATTTAAAAGTAATATGATAGTTGTAAAGTATATTTAGTTACTATACAACATCGAAGTGTGAAAGGAAGTGCCACATAAAGTTAAGATTTAGAAGTAGCTTGTAATTAGTATTTGAGGATACTGGCAGGTTAAAATAATTAACAAAACATTAATCGCCGTGTACCTACTACGGCGATTAGTGGCCTCAGAGCTATTTAATGCTTACTTTACGGACTTTAAAGTCCGTAGCCAATAAGGTATTTGTACGTAGGCAGGTGTTCCGAAAAAAATCGTTACTAAAAACAATTTTAATAATCGTTAAATTTTTCTAAGTAATTCAGCTAATGCAATTGACTTACTAAATCTCAGTACCTATCTAATAGTTTATTTTGAAGTTTTGAAAATTGTTAAAAAAAACAAATGTTCTTCAAAATATTTCCAATACATTTAAACGACTATGTCTCGGCAAAATTTTAAGGCCACGCACATACCTATTATTTTACAATTGATCATTTTATCATCTTTTCTCACACAGTCTGAGCCTGTCTGCACTGGTCCCATTTCATAGGAGACTTGGGACACGAACTACCTATCCATTAATATTTACTACCAGATCGTCCTAATTATCTGTATGTACATGTCACTTGTTTTTTAGCGTGAATGAAGCATTTTTCTCCTTGCTTTCTTAAATAAATTGTCTTACTTTTTTTGCTATGGAGCTTTAACTAATAGGTTTTTTTAAAAATATGACTGGTCCTGCCAGCAGCCTCAGCAATGAAAAGACGTTACCTATTGTTGGTCGTTGGGTTGTCCTGCGGCGACATCGGCACGAGGTAGTCACACGCCGGCCCTCGCTGCCAACATGCCACGCTCAGTACACACGACCACAGGGAGATTCTAACTCTTACAACAGCTTTCCGATATTTTTTATTGCGGATTTTATGATAACGATTAGGAGTAACTTATATTTCCATTTCTGAATGTATTTTTTGTGCTTTCTAACGAGTTACAAATTTTTCAATGTCAGATAGTGTTTTTTTACTGTTTTTTTTTTTGGTTTTTTTGTCTACAGATTTTGTCATGCATTTTGAGTTTTATAACTAAAAACGGGAGTCTGAGTCGGGATTTTATGTGTTTGTATTATCAGTTTGTAGTTTCGTATTAAAAATTATTTATTTTGCTACTGTTAATGACAGTCTTTTAAGAAAAAATGGTCAACATTTTTTTTATCTAGGACTTATGAAAACATAACCTCCAAAAAATATCGGAATAGCATCTTAATTATTCCAAATAATTTATTTTTAAATACAATCTCCCTGTGTTTTACTTTAAATACTACGCGTGCATACCACTGCGTTTTGTAAAAACTTCAATTTCAATCAAGAAAAATTGAACTCTGTTTTTTTATAGTTAAATTATATTTTACAAAACCCAGGGGCAGGGACAAAGGTAATAAAAGAAAAATAGATTAGGTAATAGATTTCCGCTATAGCTACTAGGCAAGTAAACACTCAAGTCTCTGAAATAACCGTTAAAGAGATTCTTTGAAATGCAAGATGGCGGATGTAAAAATTAGAAAAAAAAATCAAATAAGTAAGTAATGAATTGATATTTTTTTAGGAAATAACATGCGATTAGTTTAATGGTATTTCTTTCACATTCCAATGAATCTCCGTCTAACTACAAGGGGTCTAGTTATCTACGCGACTTTCATTCAAGGAGCGGGGGGGGGTCTTAGAAAAAAAATTGAGGTCATCATGCGAGCTTTAAGCACGGGCTCTTATATAATGGACCGCTAACACCGAATTAAAAAATAAAAATTATAATGTTTTTATAATTAATTAATCAATACTTAATAATAAAATAAAAAACCATTTACTTGCTTCTAGTAGCCAGAGCGAAAACATTTGGAAAAAAAGAGAAAAATGTGGTTACGCATTAGTATTCTTGTTTTTTTTTTAATTGTTTTTTTTATTTCTTTTAAATATTAATTGAATTTTACACTCGAGTATAAGGAACACTTTTTTATAATTATTGTCATTAAGAATTTATAATTAATAAGAGGCGTTGTTCCTTTTTCGAAAAAGGTTTAAAAAATCACGTGGTCATGACATCTAAAAATTCTAGGTTATAATTACGGGGGAAGTTTTATTAAAATCTGGATTTTAATTCAACAAAATACAATCTAAGTAAGGGGTTTAATCTACAAGTGTATGGTGTAATGAAACTACTAAAACAATTGGTCACTAATATTTTTTTTTGCACTGCGATAAACAACGAAAATATTTTCCTCTAAGTAAATATTTACAAAAAATAAACGACCACGTCACGGCACGTCTAACATTTAAAACTACGCACATAATATTATTATACAACAGAAAATTTTATCATCAATATTAATCTTCGAAAAATTTTTTTTTGTATTTTTTTTCTTTATCAGAAAAAATCGATTCTTTTCTCAACACATCACTATGTGGGAACAACGCCTCTCGATTGTATCGATACCTAAAACCGTAATCGATTACTCACCTGCGGCCCGTTGGCGTTTGTAGGTAGGTCCGAGCACGGCGGTAATAATGACCGTACTATTGGTAGAGGAGCGCTTACTATAGCTGGATCCTGGACAAACAAAAAAATAAGTAAAAATCTTTATTTACCTTAAAAAAGGTTTTATGTTACCCAAAACCATAACAAATCCTGAAACCAATATCTCGTGAATTGAGAAGGTATTTCTGTGTCTTAATAGACAAGAATAAATCTGCAATGAATTCATGTCATCTGTGTAGTGAAAAGAAAAATGAAAAAATATGTATATTTGAAAGTTTTTTCCCTAAACGCGCTGATAGTTATAAGCAGCTTTTGGTTTTAGGATATAGTTTATCGGTTACCCCATGTGTTCTTTTCAAATTTCGAATCTGTTTCCTAAAAAAAAACTTTAAAAATGTTGTTGTTAACAATTTTTCATACGCTACGATCGAGAATTCGTTTTTTTTTTCAAAATCGAAATCAATGAGTTATGACAATAAGACCATGACAGCCATTTTCGAGCATCATAATTACATATATGAACAATTTCACTACGAAAAAACTTATTCCATTTTCTTAATTTGTCCATGAAAAAAATGGCAATATAAAAAACAATTTTACTAGTTTTTCTTAATTTTTCCATTTCGAAATTCCAATTCCAAAACACATTTTTGAATGATTTTTTTTTCTTTATTTTGCCGTACGTACCTGCACAAACCGTTGCATCCGCTCATACATGTGCGCGAAGGAGGGTCTCTCGCCCGGCGTCGGGTTCCAGCATTCGCACATCAGCCTGTATATCTCTTGAGGACACCCTGTATAAACATTTAAAAAATATAACTTTGACTGCACGGTTGGCGCGGTGTCACACTTTGTGTGATCCACAGCTTATTGTTCCGGGTCTGGCTGTGATGTGTATGTGAAATTGTATGTTTGTAAACGGACTTACGATACTGAAAAAAACCCCAGTGTGGGCAAAGTTAAAAAAAAAACGTTAAAAAATAGATGAAAACGGACTGCAATAATGTTTTGCTTGATCTTAGAAGTAGCGTTTTATCGACAGAAGCAACTTACAGACAGAACAGAACAGAACTTATGCAAATAGCAAAAAGTTAACCCCCAATTAAATGGCGTTCATAACATAACATTCCATCGTCGGCTTCATCATCGTTTACCATCAGTCAAGATGGTTTAGTCACCATAAGTTTACATCACCCATCCCTTTCCAATCCCTAAATCCCCAAAATCCCGATCCCTAAAAGGTCGGCAACGCACTCCTTCTTTGTTGTGGGTGTCCATGGGCGACGCTGATTGCTTACCATCAGGTGATCCGTCTGCTCGTTTGCCGTCCTATCACATAAAAAAAAATCACATGCAAAGAAAACTAGGTAGTATAAAATTGAAAAAAAATGCAGCAAAAAAAGCAAAAACAAAGAAAGAGAAATCGTAGATAAACACATCTGCCTTCTCTGTCTGACTTCAGAACGTATGGTCGGTACTCACCGTAAGGTTTCTCGAGCCGTCCTCCCCCGGAGACCATCTCCATGACCTCCCGGTTGGCGCAGCCCGTGTACGGCATCACGCCCAGGGAGAACACCTCCCATAGCAACACGCCGAACGACCTGCCCAAACACCATGTCTCGTGAACCTTTTCAAATAACCTTTATACTTCTTCTAAGATTTTGATCTTGATATCTTCCTCGTGGTTTATCAAGACAAGTTTTTGTTACCACAGCTCTTTACTTCAAAATTAAACAACCATAAAAGCACTAATAAGCAAGTTTTTTACTAAGTATGTGTGTATAGCCGGCACAAATCCAGCACCCATTCTAATAAAGAAAAAGGAATCTTTATGTACAAGGATTTGTGTCAAACCCCTCATTTTTTTATTAGAGGAAAATAATCAAGTGACTTCTCCCATCCAAGGTAAGGCGACAGAGAGTGTCAGACTCTCACTGACTGAAAACTAGACGTACAAAACTAAACATACTTATTCCTAATCTTCCGATTGTAAGTTCATTAGCGCTAAAGGAATAATTTTCTGCTACTTTCACAAAAGCATCTCAATTCTCTCACGAAGAAAATCAATTAAAAATAAATGTAAGTAACGATTTTAACAATCAAATGTGCCATTTTTGCGACACTTTCTGCCTCCCACAACAAAAACTGTGGTCTGTGATCAGATCTTTTCGCGGCAGTATTTCCGAACCGACACGACCTTCGAAACTTCAAGAAACGAGCGTACTCCTTCTTATAAAGCCGGCAATTTCTTTGAGATTCTTGGTGTTTCATTTACCACTTACGTTACCAGGGGTTGTCTGTTATCCTAAAGCAGAAGAAGGAACGGGGAGAGCTTTTGTCAGTTAAGAATCTGACACTCCCTCACCCGGGTAGTCAGTCGTTGGATAATTAACCCCTAACAACAAAGGGGTTGCTTGTTGGAGTCCAATTCCTTCAAAACATAAGAAACTCACCAAACATCAGTTTTGATGGTGAATACTCCATCGATGTAGGCTTCGGGCGGCATCCACTTGATTGGCAGCATGGCTTTGCCCCCCTTCTTGTAATAATCCGAGCGGTATATATCGCGCGCCATTCCAAAGTCTGCTATCTTTACGACTCGGCCGGGGCCGCGGGATGTAAGCAGGCAATTGCGAGCTGCTATGTCCCTGAGAAATATGGAGATTATTGACAGATTGTTAAGCGGTTTTAAAGAATAAATGTTTGTTCTATTACCAAATGTGAAAAATATTTGTTTAGGTAATGTCCCTGCAGGCTAACTGTACTCCAAAATTCCAACCCAATAAAGCTTTTAGACGTTTTGTTCTAGGTTATTATTGGTTAAGGGGTTTGGATCAAAGTTACTCCAATTCCACAATCCCCTCCCCCAATGTCAAAATAACCCAAACTTACCCAGTATCCTCACCCCTCCACCAGGGGCAAAGTATTTCAAAAATTACCTTATTTAATATCTCTATATAATAGGATAATTTTGATCAGGTCAATAAAAGGGGTGTGATCTTATATGTTTGTAAACACACCCAAGACACATAAGAAAATCCCAATGTGGAGCAGAGATCTTTCTTAATAAACAATTAAAAAATATTCTTTCGCGGACCCACGGCGCAAAAGAAAACCCTAGCGTAGGAAACAGTTTTTTTTCAGCAAATCCTATAGAAGTGACAGTATTAAAAGTCCAAAAGATCCTAAAATAAAAACAAAGTAAGTAAAGGATACGTTTGTTTCTGAATATCCTTTTCCAGAAGATAAGTAGCGAAAATAAATCCACTTGTAAACGCTCTCGAAATATAAATAAAAAGCAAATCAATTCCCCAACGAATAAGGCGAAAAACTCTTTGAGTAATAAAATCGAGAATCTTCAAATAGTTCAACAGAAGAATGCTTCGCTTTCTTAAACATTCAAGTTCTAGAAGAATCTAGAACATTCTTAGGTACCTGTGTATGAATCTCTTGCTCTCCAAATATCTGCAACCCTTGCAGACATCAATGGAGCAGAGGAGCAGATCCTTCATGGTAAGGGCACTGGCTCGTTCCGGCTTCGGTCGACTTTCACGGAGGAAGTTCTTTAGGTCTCCACCAGCTAACAGTTCCAGTACTATGAACCTGGATGGAATTAACGATGATTAAGAATTAAGAGTTGTTGAGTGTTTTTTTTTTATTAAATACGATGTTTAGAACTACTCATAAATAGGTTTTTTTATGTGTTTAGGTATAACATGGAGGTGCTTTTTGACAAAATATCCGGATCGACCACAATTGTTGACATCAAAGAGGATAGGAGGACATCAGGAGGGGAACCTCCCCCAATCCCTAAATCATCCCCAAAAGGTGGCGCTGATTGCTTACCATCCGGTTTTAGAGGTATGAGGAACAGGGTGGAAAGTTCCTCATCCTCCATTGAAAAGGGAGGATCCTCCGACCAGGCGAGGTGTTCGTGCCTGGTGGGCTACTGCCCGACGGTTGTTGTCGGGATATCTGTATAGGTGCTAATTGTGTGGAAAACTCTTATAGCGCGATGTAGACTCTTGCACGTGATTGGTGCTGTTGTTAATGTAGTGCGCTAGATGTCGCTACACGGTAATTATTCATTTTTTGCTGACATATCACATAAAAAAACCTAATCTTCAAATTAACTTCTTCACTATAAAGTACCCACATTTGAACAAAAGCCACCAAGAACCTTTCTACGAAACTTACCTTGGATGTCGATCAAAGCAGACACCGATCAGGTGGACAATATTAGGATGACTGAACTTGGCCATGATGGCGGCTTCCATGAGGAAGTCAGACTCAGCCTGGCCGGTCGACAGTTCTGGCAGAGTTTTGACAGCCACTGGCATCTCGACCGTGTCTCCTGTGCGGTGGCGATAGAGGCCTTGGTAGACCTCTCCGAATGCTCCCTGGCCGAGTGCCCTGGGGGAGAGAGAAATAGGAATATGGTTGAGGTATTAAGAGATAAGTACGCTTTCTGTACTTATGGTAACAGTCAGTCATCATGATTTGGGGTTGATTTATGAAAGACTTTGATTCAAATTTTTTATCCTTTTTAGAGTTACGTGTTCAACTTCCCTCATAGTTATAGTCCTTTATATAACTCCTTATAACATAACTCCCTTATAGTTTCGTTATGTCTGTCTGTCGGTCTATCTGTCCCGACCGCGGATAATCTGTGACCGTTAGTACCAGAAAGTTGAAATTTGGCACAAATACATATGTATATCAATGACGCCGATAAAGTGGTATAATAAAAATTTTCTTAGAGTATCCCCCTTCTGTAAGTAAAGTAGGGGTTGTTTTTTTTCTAAGACAGACGGGAAACTACGGAACTTTACACTGAGCGTAGCGCTTAAGGCCGGTATATCTCCTATCTCCATTAATATGAATTCAGTGTTCCGGACTTTTAGAAGGCGTTTAGAAGTTGAAGCCAATTTGCAAATCGGATCTTTGGAAGACTTACGACGCCAATTTGCTTAGGTTTCTTTTCTGTTCCTATTATAATATAAAGTTTGATTTTAATTCCTTCTTCGATACTAATATTATAAAGAGGTAAAATTTGTAAGTTTGTATGTAGGGGGTAATCTTTGGAACCGCTGTTTGAATATCCAAAATTCTTACAGCGTTAGATAGCTACAATGTTCCTAAGTGCAGTAGACTATAAATTATACTTGACTTGCGTTTCAGTCGAGCTATTAGCTTAAAAAGCTGCTGTTGTTTTTCAAATTCATATTCATATTTTCGTTTTAACTTTGGGATGATCATGGTATTTTATGTATATAGAATTTGTATTACAAAAACAGTTTCCACTTACTTGACAAGCTTCAGGCTCTCCCTCGACACCTGTGGCAAGCCTCGAACATCAATCCCTTGCGGAAGTATGCTCTCGCTTCCATAGTGAGGATTGAATGCCATGGTGAGGTTATCGTTCCCTCCCGGAGCACTCCTCAGACGCTGGAGCTGCACGTCTTGTTCTAGAAGACGTTTCTGTTGTTGTTCTGCTTCTTTCTTCCGTTGGTAGGTGTTGTCTGTGAAAGAGATTGTGGTTTGAAGTTTTGAAGTGTCTTAGCGTCTTAAGACCTGGTTACGGAACTGGCGGTTGATTATTTTACTGCCTTTTGACCTTCTTTCGTTTCCGTCGTGTGTTAGACACAAGTCTTTCCTTATTATGTAAACCCAGGCTCTTGGAAAGAGCTCGAACTATTTCTATAAAAATGTGGAAGAGCCTTGCTTCGACACGAATGGGTCGGCTCGACCGGAGTGGTGCCACGGCCTCACAGAAAACCGGCGGAAACAACCACAGCGTTGTGTTTCGCCGTGAGAGTGAGGTTATCGGAGGCCAAATACGTCTCCTTCCCAAATCCCTAAACCTCCAAACCCCTGAACCCCAGAAGGTCGGCAACGCACTCGTAACTCCTCTGTTGTTGCGGGTGTCCATGGGCGACGCTGATTGTTTACCATCAGGAATTTGCATCCTGATTTACCGACGTAACACATAAAATAAATAATAAGCCTTTGTAACTTCGAAAAAAAAACTAAACGTAAACTTAAAGGTAAGGTAAGGTAGAGCAAAGAGGATACTCACAGAGGTAGAGACAGACGCAGAGCACGGCGAGAGCGCAGACAAACACAGCAACGGAAAGCACTATTATCACCACCCACGGGGTGCGGGGCCATGCTTCCTCCACTGTATTACATAGAATTTACTAATTAAAAACGAAGAGGGAATTTGTGTAAATGATGATAACGATAGGCTAGATAGAATGGTCTTGTATTGTTAATATCTACATCTTTGATGGTAAGTATTAAGTAAGCATGCATATTCTTGTGTGACTGTGACTTGTGTGAATGTGATTTATCGAGTAACAATACGCTCGTTACATTCGATAGTTTTGTCGTCTGCAATACCTATTACTGTAATATGTTGATAATAATGAATTTGAGTTTAAAATAATTTCTTTAACGATTAAGAAACAAATAATGTTATAACTAGACTGTTCCTATCACTTCTTGATTTCATGCCATCCTCCAAATAAGAATTTCCTTAACCCATTCACAGCCAACGTGGTCAATGTTGACTGACGCTAGCGAAGAATTTGACTTCAACAGTTTTTGTCAGTCAAAGTTAAAATCTCTTTTCTAACTAAACCATAAACGGGAACTTTTGAAACGTCAAAATAAAATATAGTCTGTTTGTCAGTGAAGCTACGGAATCTACACTTTGGAACGAGCAAATAGCTTCAATAGAGGACAGATGGACAGACTGACGCATAAAGTTAAACCTCTTGAAGAAATTTTTTCCTTTTTTTTTGCTTGACGTTCAAAAGTGCCTGTAAGGGTCTAATTATTGAAATAAATGATTTTTGACTTTTGACTTTTACTTAGTTCAGTAGGTATACTTACATATGCACTTGGTAGGATCGTGGGCGTCCGCAGTCCATGTGGCGGGGCAGTAACACTTCACCTCGCTGCGGTACTCGTTCAGGGCGACGCAGCGGTAGTCGCAGTCACAGTCCTAATGAGGAAAGGAAAGAACATTCCAATGTCCATCCATAAAAGTATTTTTAGGAGAGTTATGCTTAGGCACGAATGGGTCGGCTCGACTGGAATAAACTTAAGTAATCACAGCCTCACAGAAAACTGACGTCATACAACCACAACGTTGTGTTTCGCCGTCTGAGTCAGATTACCGAAGGCCTTATCCTTTCCCTCCTCCCATCCCTCCTCTAACTAACTGTAACTAAATCCCCGAAACCTATCTCTTTTGGTGTTGCGGATGTCAGGTAATCCGTCTGCTGCTTCAGGGGAAAAGATTGGGCCTCCAGTAACCTTACTCACGCGGCGAAATACAGTGTTCCAGTTGTCTTACGCTGATTTTGTCTGAGGCTGTGGTTCGCCCTGTGTGGTTGTCCTCCCGTCGAGGAGGCTCATTCGTGCTGAAACATGGCTCTCCCATACCTAATTGTAATTTTCCATTGTGTCTTTCTACTGGTCTACTAGTATTTTCTACTAGTCAACTGGTATTTTCCAATGGTCTACTGGTATTTTGTACTGGTCTACTAGTATTTTCTACTGGTCTACTGGTCTTTTCTAATGGTCTACTTACATGTATAGCGGGGAATATCAGAAGTTCCCCGGGCCCCGTCCTGGGTGCCACGGCTGCCTCACTGTAGTCTCTAACGGCCCGGCTGGCTGCGATGTAAGACCAGCCTCCCCCGCCGTGCAAGCCACGACCTTCGTTCGTGTCTCCACCTGGAATGGGATCAAATGGTAATTGGAGGGAAGGAGATCAAATCCCTGTACTATTAATTCTTTGCAATATGTTTGCTATGAGCATATCTCGAGAACGGCTGAACTGATTTTGCTATAAGCAGGGAATAAGTGCTTATGAAAGAATATTTTTGAAATGTGGAGGGGAAATAATTCTGGGGTTGCGACCTTTTTAACGTTTGCGTTAAGGAGATAATTGGACGTTGGAGGGTATGTGTTTTATAAATTATAACAATATGAAGATGCTCCTGGAATTTTATAGAAATATTTATTGTGATTTGCAAAGTGATATTTGTTTGAGAACTATAACAAATAAAGTGCGAATTGTGAAGATCATTCTTGAAATTAATTTTAGTAGATGATTTTCTTTTATCTGTTTTCAACTCACCAAGCCAGCCTCCCCCGCCGCCGCCCCTGAGACAGCCACCGCCCCCTCCCCCGAACCCTCCATCCGCCTGGCCTGCACAGGCGGCCCCTCCTCCGCCTCCCTCGTGTAGCGCGGCGCCCCGCACCAGCTCGAACCCAGGAGTCGTAGGACCTGAGCGAGCCAACCAACCTCCTCCCGCACCTAGGTGTATGGAATATGGACTTTATAGTAATGTAGTTAGTATTTTTACACCCTGTATATAAAAGAAATGTCGTGTTAGTTACTCCACTTATAACTCAAGAACGGCTGAACCAATTTAGCTGAAAATGTGCAAGATTCAAAATACAAAACTAATGATAAATCCTATTTTTTAATAAGAGGGATGAAGTCAAGATTAGAACAAAAAAACCTTATAGTATATCTTTTCCTTACCAGAAGTCTTCCCGGGTTGTCCATACATGTACCCGGACTCAGGAGTGGCGTTGGTCAGCGGCCTGGCATGCTGGGACCCGTCGTCTCTGAAGCTGCCCACTGAGATGCCTCCCCCTCCTCCGGCCACTAGTAGGGGGAATGCTTGGCCGTCTTTGTCCAGCTATTGGAAAACGTGAAGTTAATGATGGGTGTTTCTTAATTGTTTTTTTTTACATATGGTCTATTTTATAGAATAGTCGTCTTTTAGGACCACCTTTTGTTATAACCAGGTTTTGGTCATAATCTGTGACCTGTGATGAAAACCTATAACCTAATAACTCATGAGTTATTATGAATTGTGACTAGAGCTTTCCATTAATTTTTGTATGTGTTAAATGGTTCTAAAAACAAAGCAACTTTGTTTTCTTTTTCTAAATTAATCAATTGTAAAGGCCTGAATATTTTTTGTTAATTTTTTTTGAACAAAACATTGCCCTACTCTAGAATTTTTTTCTGTGCCCTGGGCGTGTTTACAGGAATACAATTTCACAAACACATCACACCCAGACCCGGAACAAAAGTTTGTAGATGAGTTGTTCCGTACGGGAATCGATACCACGAAACGTTGCGCGGCAGCCAGTTGTCCAGCCAGTGCGCCAACCGTGCAGAAAAAATAATCCAAACTAACATTATAAATGCGAAAGTAACTCTGTCTGTCTTTTCTTCACGTCTAAACTACTGAACCGATTTCTGTGAAATTTGGTACAGACATAGTTTGGAACTCGAGAAAGGACATAGGATAGTTTTTATACCAAAAAACTGCAGTAACTCACTATTCCATGCGAACGGAGTCGCGGGCAGAAGCTAGTACAATATAAATTGAATCTTCAAAATATGTACTTCATAACAACTACTTATATGTATAAGTGGTTTCTTCTAGAAAGGAGTATTAATAAAGAAACTTAAATTTTGTTAAATACATTTCTACCTAAATAATGGCACATTTGAATCTGCTGAAATAAAAACTTCTCTTACCAAAAAGACATAAGTGGCCCCGCCTCCCCCTCCCCCTCCATCGGAGACGTGGGTGTTCCTGACCTCGTGGGTCTTGCTGGTGAACACCTGGCTGGTCTCGTTGGAGGTCCGACGGGAACACTCGTGGTGACCCTCTTGGGCTGATAGTGTCTACAGAACAAAGGTCACAGGATGAAAAGCTGGTCTAAAGTAGGGATGTTATGGATGGGTAATTTCGGCTACAGTTGGACTATTACGAAACGACACCATTTGTTTTAACAACATGGTTTATTTTGGACATCGAATATATTCAGACTTGAAAATCGGTAGCGATCTAATTTTTACTAGCTTATAACGTCCCACTGCTGGGCGAAGGCCTCCCCATCTGGTTTACACACCTCCCGATCATTCGACCGTGTCCACCAGTCTCGAAGATACGCATCCAGATCATCACGCCATCTTTTCGTACCCCGCCAGGTTGGGCAATCATCCTGAGGTGTCCACTGGGTGACAAAGTGACCCATCTCTACGGATGCATTCAGCTCACGTGTCCGGCCCAGTCCCATTTTAACTTAGCTGCCTTTTGGCCCACATCAGCGACTCAAAACCATTGTTAAGAATATTTCCTATCATCATATTATAACTTGGTATCATGCATCATTTATCACTAGGTTTCCTTACCTTTTTGCAAGCATTGATCCCCTGTTGGCCAACGAGTATGTAGACTCGCTCGCTCTTGTGGAGTTCCACCAGCGCCCTTACGGCGGCCGCGTGGGATACTCCCGCCCAGGCTGAACCCAGGCCTCCACTCGCACCTGTTGCTATCAGCCTAAGAAGGAGATGGCAGGTTTTAAGAAAAATAAATCAATATTAATACTTATTGAAAACGTCCTTGAAGATTATTTTTGCAGCAAGAGTGCATAGTCTTGCGAAGGTCAATTTGTGATAATAATCACATAAACGTAACTTGTTGATGACTTTATAGGGCAGGAAAACTAAAAGTTTCTCTGTATTGTAAAGTTGTTGGCGATATATTTCAAAATATCAATTCATTAAATGTCACTACGTAAATGTGAAGCTTAAACAAAAGATTTTCTTTGTCTATACAGCTCATTAACAATATTATATCTATAAATCCTAAAAAAATCAAGTCGAGATAACACAAAATGGGCCCAAATCAACCCTAATCCTAGCCCCCACAAGGCCAGCAATTCACTCGTAACTCTCTGGTGTTGTTGCTATTCCTGGACAGCGCTGATTGCTTACCATCAGACGAAATGTCAGCTCGTACTAAGTATTACAAGGAACTTACGTATACAATCCTTCAGCAGGCACCTCCCACAGCTGTATGCCCTGGTAGGGAGGACTCTGTATAACGCTGACTGATACAGGAGTATTGTTGTAGGCCGCATCACACATGGTCTGGTTCGGACCGAAGCGGCCCGTTGCACCGCATGTCGTGAAGCGGTAGACTGTTGGGGAAATTTTGTATGTAAAACCTTCAAATATAATTATGTTTAAGACCATGTTATATAAAGTCTGGATAGCCAATATGAACCAGATACACCAGTTATTATTACTAATTTATATTATCTATACCTACTAATATTATAACGAGATAACATTTGTAAGTTTTTGTTTGTTTTTATGTAGGGGGTAATCATAGTGGAAAAATCCCGGATGTTTCCTTCATGGGGGTAATCTTTGAAACCGCTTCGGATTGTCAAAATTCTTTCACTGATATTTAGATACAATGTTCCTGTGTGCTATAGGCTATAAAATATCACGGTACGATCAAATGGAGCCGTGCAGCGAGTGAAACAGCGAGAGTAGCTAGTCTACTATACAAAAATAAGTCGGGATTTCCTTCGCACCAACCATTCGCTCATCTCTGCATCACCCAAGGCTCGACTGGTAGGAAATGCCTAAGGCATTATGTCCACTTTTAATATTAAGTGGTTGTTAGACGTGACTTTGCATTCCCTCTTTATACTATCAGTCAGTTATATTGGGACATTCTGAACTTGAAATTTAACCGCCTTTATAGATATGGAGGTAACTGTCACTTTTCAAAAAAGAAAAGATGGTGGCTGTGCTAGCCTGTCACTAACTTCACTGCATTCCTGATTAAGTTATCCGATTTAATCCGAGAAGTGTTTGATTGTTTTTAACTAATTATAACACGACTTAAGTCACAATTAATCAGAGAGCACGTTGGAAGCCTTATTTTCTTTAATTCTAAGATGGTTAATGATGAAAGCCCGTACATATCTATCATATACTTACAAGGTTTATCCGCAAACGCGGGATGTGGTGTCGTCTTCTCCTCAAAGGAGGGGTCGTAATAGTTGTAATCCCCTAGCTCTGCCGGGTCCATGTTCAGCCCGAAACACTCAGGGGCCATGGAGAAGTCATCTATTGCAGAGTCTGAGTAAATCCGCATACCCATACGAGTTTTGAATTCTAGGAAATATCTGTGGAAAGAATGTTTCTGTTAGTACAGTGGAAATTGTGGTAAGTAGTGTCAATATGAGCTATAGCAGATTTCGGCGACGTTCAGGTTAGGTATTAAGGATTCAAGATCGCACAGATTGATTCTTAATCAAGACAGTTAAGAAGCATCAATGGTTATAAATATGTTTATAGCTGATAATAAGCCTTTCATTGTAGTAATTTTCTGTTTTGGACTTGGAGAACGTTTTTAAAGATTGGATGAACCATTTCTACGAAACCAATGATCAAATGTTTCTGTTTTTTTAGTATCGCCATTATAATATTTTTTATTGTAATAAATAAAATCACATCATGATGAAATCATTTTCCCTCTCGGCCTGGGTTGGGTGTCAGACTCTTACTGACTAAAAACCAGGTCCTTATCCTGCTCTAAGCCGGGGCCGCAGTTCAAGCACCCGCAGCCCCCTGCAGATTATCAGGATTCAATTGAGGATCAGGGAGGACCTTTTTTTCTTATCTAAGTTTTGCCATTCCACTTACCTCCTAGTAACATTTGGCAGGAATATAGACGCCCTGTACCAGTTTTCGCCCTTGTCCTTAGTGCTGAACCACACGGAGGTGGTAATGTTGCCGCGGTTCGTCAGTTCCACCACGTTCACGCTCAACGATCCATAGTTCCTACCATTTTGCTGGTAGTAGAACCTTATCTGTGGATTGAAGGTGTTGGTTAGTTGCCTCAACTAATATAATAAAAAAAAAAATTACTCGGGTATGAAATCTTAAATAGTTACATTTCTTTTTTGCATCTTTGGGCCTTTTGGAACACTCAGTTCAATTTTTTTCTGAATGAGCAAATTTTAGTTCTTATAAATATTGAGCTACGATCATCGATCACTAATAAAGAACTAGATACACAATCAGTGATAAAAAAACGTCCTAACTGAAAGTCCACCAAACTCAACATCGTAGTTTTAGTTTAGTACCACTCGAATGCTCCGACGGTAAACACGCCTCAGTGCTCGTTTAAAAACTGCAAAAAACACACATCTAAGACGCAAAAAAGGATGGAATTTCATATTTTCGTTAAGTAATAATATTATCATTATATAATTGTCATCATTCTATTTTAAATATTGATATTTTATTAAGAAATTAACTTTAAAACTTTTTCCAAATGAAATCGTATTCAAAAACCGGGGTTATAATGCACACAGTTTATAAAGACACTTATACTAAACGTAAAATCATTCTCTAGCGTGACCACTTAAGTTGTTCGGTTTACGTGGATTGATTCTGTTCCGTTTAGCGGAGACGCTATATATCTAATAATATATATCTAAAGTAAGTACTGAAAATGTTGGCGTTATTGTTGTCAATTTTTCATATCGCACGGGATTTTGATGAAAGCTAAAAAAAAATGTCTTTACTGCAGTTAAAATTAAATCCATTATATCTGCCTATTCCATATTTTAATAAACACAGTAAAGAAGTATAATATTAAATAAAAACTATTTTTTAATAAAAAAAAAAACAATAAATAAAATTAGAAACAATAGCGTCTCCGCTAAACGGAACAGAATCAATCCACGTAAACCGAACAACTTAAGTGGTCATGCTAGAGAATGATTTTAAGTTTAGTATAAGTGTCTTTATAAACTGTGTGCATTATAACCCCGGTTTTTGAATACGATTTCATTTTGAAAAAGTTTTAAAGTTGATTTCTTAATAAAATATCAATATTTAAAATAGAATGATGACAATTATATAATGATAATATTATTACTTAACGAAAATATGAAATTCCATCCTTTTTTGCGTCTTAGATGTGTGTTTTTTGCAGTTTTTAAACGAGCACTGAGGCGTGTTTACCGTCGGAGCATTCGAGTGGTACTAAACAAAAACTACACCGCGATGTTGAGTTTGGTGGACTTTCAGTTAGGACATTTTTTTGTCACTGATTGTGTATCTAGTTCTTTATTAGTGATCGATGCTAAATACAGTTGATGACAGTTTTGAAGCGAACTTTTGTATGGGATTGTGTATCTAGTTCTTTATTAGTGATCGATGGCTACGATAGATAGAACACATTTTTGTACGATAGACACTAAAAACAACATATAATTAAACGTGCATTAACGCTTAAAGTAATTATTTAAATACCTTGGAAGGCTTGATAGTCTACTTGCGACCACGACCTGTGCAACCAGGTCGAAACGTCAAGCCTTCCAACGTATTTAAATAATTATACCTTTCGCGTTAATACCCGTTTAATTATATTATTAACATGAAACGCGAAAGTTCAAAATTTAGTAGTCAATAAAAAAAATTCCCAGTATTACAGCGTTAAGAAAGAAAAAGAAAAAAAAACAAATCATAACTGCCCCTAACAGAACACCGAAAGTAGAAATAATAACTCATTGAAAAAACTTACCATACAACAGTTATAATATCGAGACGTAATATTCCCATGGACCTTCGGAGGAGGGTTGAAAATGACGGTTCTCATCACAGCAGTGGACGCGAAATCCGCCTTCTCCTTATTGGGCCCAGTCACATTCATATTGACGAAGAAATAATATCCAATGCACTGAGTTATGCTCAAGTTTAGATGGGCTGGGAATAAAGGAGGAACCACCATTGTTGGGTGGGGTAACGTGGGCCCACATGTATGGTCGTAGTTGGGCCCTGTTTTGTCCGTTGGAGTGGGCCCGTTGTGACGCGACCATTTTAGGATTGGCCTGTGGAAGGAATTGTGGTTTTGTTAGTGGTTTTTTGTGTCTTGCCTATGGTTTTTTTGTCCTGTGCTTATACAATATGCTTCTGTTCTGAAGTAATATCCTCATTTAGTATTTTATTGTCCATACAATCATTAATGAAACAAATCTCTCGATGTTTGAGTACATTTTTGTTGCCAATGGCAAAAAGAATTAATTACATATGTAAATTAATCGATACCATTTTGGCAAATCAGCTAAGTAACTCCTTATGAGCAAATTTTTTCAGGAGACACTTGAAACTCTATATTATTTCTGTAGACTATTATATATATAAAGAAATGTAAAATGCCGTAGAACATGAAAGATATTAAACTAAATTATAACGTTGAAAACTGCCAGATATTTAATCAATTTTAGGTACAAAACTACATCGTTTTTAGGAGTTGTATGATTGTTGACACAATGTGGATTTGCTGATTTGCTAATTAGGGTATCATAATAGGGACTCTTATAGAAAAAAAGAGTAAGTATTGTTAAATAAAAACTCACTGTGGAACATTCTCGAAGCCGCAGGTATCTTGTTCGAAGTTACAATAAGATCCGTACGGCATTTTGTCTGCAAAAATAACACAAATGTATAATCCAATATTATATTTTACAAGTGTCTTGGTAGCCAAAACGTAGGCCCATTTAAGGCCCTATATGACAACGGACTCAAAACGGTAGAGTTCGAAAATTTTCGGGTTAACATACCGCAATTCTGTGCTTCATCGCTGCCATCGTCGCAGTCCTTTACAAGGTCACAGACTTGCTGCAGCTTGATGCACGAGTCTTTCTGTAAGGGAAAATATTTATTTAGTCCTACTCATATTACTAAATAATGTATTGGAACTCCTCCAACTATCTCCCGCCCAGTCCTTTTTTTCGTAATTATCAGGCATTTGCTCGCTATCACGGCTGATGGTAAACGATAATTGGACCTACGAGGAAGCACACATAAGCAACCTATTCACTCGGGCCTTGAAGACACCCAGGTTATAACCATCGGGAACACAGACTCCAGCAAAGAATTCCACTCCTTAGCGGTTTGGATTATAAAACTGGAGGCGAAACGCTTCGTGCGTGTAGGTGGGATATCCACCGATGACGTTTTGCCGATTGTCTGGTGGAAAGGACTAGAGAGAAATAAGTTATGAGGGTTCTCGAACATGCTCCGAAATGTGAAGATAAAGAAGCGATAATGTCGGCGTGCGTTAGTGTCAGCCATCGCTGAAAATCAGCGCCGCGACATGTCTCGTATGGGGTCGCTGCATAATGCTGAGCGAGGGCCATTTCGCGTGCTTGGATGCATATTTTTCACCTACCCTCTACTTTTGTTATATTGTTTTACCATGCTTTATGTGAAATGAAATGAATGAAATGAAATTTATTTTTATTATCTTGTTCTTTTTGTACCTTTTATGTGTCCCAGACGCGAATACCTAAATACTTTTGTTTGTTTGTATATTTACCCTATATTTGTTTGCTGTTCTTTGAAAATGTTCTGAAGTTTCTTTAATACTTACGTTCATAATCTGACACTTAAGTTGTCCCAGCACACATTCGCCATTATAAATCGGTGGCTCCGGGACGCAGTCTATCATGCGAATATTGTCTATGGCGATATGTGGCAGGTTCTGAGACAGGCTGACGTAGCTCGGCCGCGTGATCTCTATTATGATGCGGACTTCTTGCTGTACTTTGCCGATTATGAAGCGCATTGGGTGCCAACTGTGAAAGAGAACAGGTTTTGTAGGGTTGGTGCTGATAGATGATGTTGACTTTACTTCTACATTTCGTAAGAGATCCGGAAGGTTCTTTTCTTTATTGTAACTGGCGTGAGACATATGTATATGACTATTTTTTTGTTATTCTTTTTTTTAAAGCCGCCACACTATGAGTTCATTCTGTGTCGTGGGTGTACAAACATACAATTTTAAATACACATTACACCCAGACCCGAAACAATTTTGAGGTTCTCTACATTAAATAGAAAACAGAACTATTTTCCAGTTGCCCAGCTACTACGCCAACCATGCAGTCACATTCTTATACATCAAAAAGTATAGTTAAGTATTTTTTTAAATACTTACATATCGAAATTGTTGCCAGCCACCTCTTGCAGGATCCATTGCACTTCAGACATTGTGGATTCTGACACCAGTCGGATGCTAGCGTTCTGCATCTTACTCTGGTGGAGCTTGGCTTCGAACTGGTGGAAGAACGGGAAAATTTTAGACTTCACGATTTTTTTTTTTTTTGTTATGGAAATCAAAGAAACATTAGGTTAGTTTTCAACTCAATTAAATTATAAGTAAAATGGTGTAGATAGGTTACATAAACAACATTCGATTTTCAAAAACGGTACACTAATGCACACATGAACAATTCGTATGATTAGACGTCAAAGTTAGATGGCATGGAAATATGAAAAATTGTGGCTAGTTAGCCACATTTTAATGTATCACTTGCTGAGCGCTTGTAACCTATCTACACATTTTTACTTGTAATTTAATTGAGTTGAAAACTAACCTAATGTTAGTCTTTCAACTAGTCAAACTCAATTATTTTATCCAAATGTCAAAAACTATACTTTTCCATGAAATTTGTATGAAACTCCCAATTATGACGTCGCAGTATTATTGCGTCAAAAAGCTTATTATTTTTTTAAAATAGCGTAAATTATATCGAAAATGTAGTGTATCGACAGATTGATGAATAAAACTATAGTTCTTTTTAATATGTTATTGTACCGTAACATCGAATTAATTTAATTTTGACCTAGGCAACTACCCAATTAGTAAGTTTTTGCGAATAGACCACAAAATATCACTTTCACACGTCAACATTACATATACAAAAATCTAGAGAAACCTGCCATTTCCTGTCTGATTACTCTGAGAAGAAATGCAGAAACAAATTCAGAGGTCTCTCTTTTAAAATCCAGTCAATGTAAGATTAAATTAAGCGAACAGAGCAAATATGTTGTTTTGGTAATTAAAAATGTATTAAATAACTAAAACTTTAACATATTTAACGCCATATCACTACATAGTGTAAAACAAAGTCAATATATCTGTCGCTATGTATGCTTAAATCTTTAAAACTACGCAACTGATTTTGATGCGGTTTCGTTTAATATGTTGAGTGATTGAGGAGGAATATTTATATGTATAATAACATCCAGTAAATAGTGGAGAAATTTACTTTCAGCATTGCATCCGTACGAAGATCGGGTGGGTCACTAGTTTACATATCAATTGATCGCATCATACAGGAACAGAAAGCGTGCTTACCTTGCAGAATTCCCAAAGACCACGGAACGGTGGTGACTTGATCACCATGTTTTCCATGGTGGGGTCCACGGCTAAGTAGAGGAAATGACCTGTAACAAAAAGAAAACATTTTTATTTATTACATTGTTAGGTTGGTAAACCTAGCGACGAATGCGCACCGTAATGTTGGTATGACATGCGCGAACTGCGCACGGCGCGTTCCCGCCTATTTTTAAAAAATAAATTAGTGTGCCACAGATTAGCGAGTTTGATTGACGTATTGCATCGTTCCTGTTTCCCGCGCAAATACATTATATACATAAAATACAACAGGTAACATGTCGTGGTGGCCCGGAGTGACAAATACCAATGTGACTTTTTCCGAGTTATATGTGCTTTCTATGATTATTTAAACACCACTGACATACGGTGAAGGTAAACATCGTGAGGAAACGTGGACTTATAATTCCTAATTATAAGTTTGAAATCGCCAACCCGCATTGAGCAAGCGTGGTGATTAATGCTCGAATCTTCTCCGCATGAGAAGAGGCCTTTGCTCAGCAGTGGGCACTTATAGGCTGATGATGATGATGTTGATGATGATGATGATGATGATGATGATGATGATGACATAAAATAAATACATAACATCACATAATTTTGTTATCACATCACATCATCAGCCCTTTATATTAAGTGTCCACTGCTGAGCAAAGTCCTCTTTCACACGAAGGAGGTTTGAGCATTAATCACATGAAGCAAAAAACCTGGGTTGTTTGCCTGTCAATTTGTCTAAAGCAAAGACGCTTTCTTTGTCCATATATCCCCAAAATTGCGCGACGTTAATAAATAAAGTGATTGAAGAGGAATACGTTTATATATAGGTATGATAACAACCATTAAATAACGGAGAAATTTAGACTCACGATTGCACCCGTGCGCAGCCGGGTTTGGTCGCTAGTTTACAATGATCCCAACAACCGCAACCTTACTCCAACGAGCAACCCATTCCACATTAAGTCCTAATTAACCTTATACAAATACTAGCTAATCCCGCACGGTTTCACCCGCTGCTCAGCTCCATTTAGATGTAGCATGTTGTTTTATAGCTTATTGCACTCAGGAATATTGTAGCTATCTATCAGTGAAAGAATTTTGGAATTCCGACCATCGGTTCTAAAGATTACCCCCTACATACAATCTTATAAACTTTACCTCTTTATAATACTAGCGGCCCGCCCCCGCTTCGCACGGGTCCAACTGTCTCGCTATCATAGTGACACTTTTCCTTAACTTCCCCTCTACTTTTCTAATATTTTCTTTGATAAAAACCTTCTCCTGACAATAACAAACACAACAAAAAAAGAATTAGCAAAATCGGTCCAGGCGTTGTTGAGTTATGTAAGCGCATAACTCAACAATGCAACACATTTTGCGATCCATTTTTATATAAAAGATTAGTATAGACTATAATCTAGATAGAGTATAATCTAGATAGAGAGATCTAAATAGAGTACAATCATTGTGAGATCATTTAGCAACCACGTGGGCGAGTAAACTCGACGTGCGAACCGCACATTTAACAGATAATTGCGCAGAATTATTATTCGTATTACTTCTCTCGAGTACAACGAGAGGGTGTCATGCATTAACTTTTAAAAAGTTTTCATCGAATTATGCTAATAAAATGTAGTTTTAAACTTACATTTAGTTTTTTTTTTCTCGTATAAATAGAAAGAGAATTTCGAATATTGTAAGTGTGGGTGAGATGAGCTTTAGCACGGATCGGCTTGGTTGGAGTGATGATGACCACGGATCCACAGAAAACCACCACATTTGTTAAACCAAATCAAAATCATTTATTCCAACTAAACCAAAAATAAAAAAACTAAACTTTTGAAACGTCAAAATAGAATAGTAGTCTGACAGTCTGTTCGTCAGCGAAGCTAGGTGCTCGTTCCAAATTGTAGTTTCGAATGGAGAAGAACGAGCAAGAAGCTCCATCGTTACTCTTTTTAAGCGGCCCGGACTAAGCGTTTCGCCTCATCATTTATACCGCGTACATCAAGGGATTGGAACAGTTTGCCGGCTGCAGTCTTTCCGTGCGAATATAATTTAGGTGTCTTCAAGGCTAGAGTGAATAGGCTCTTAATAAACTAGTGCGCCTTACCATCAATGATTGCATCACTGCTTACCATCAGATGGGATCGCAGTCAAGCGCTAGTTTATATCAAGTAAAAAAAAATGTTTTACATTGCGACAACCAAAGAGTAATGTTGCGCCATGTGAGTAAGGTTGAAGGAGTCCCAGTCCTTCCCCTCTCTCCATCCTTCCAATCTCCTCTTACTCCTTACCTTTAAAACTTTTAATTGTGGGAGAGCCATGCTTCGGCACGAAAGGGTCGGCTCAACCGGAGTGATAACACGGCCTCACAGAAAACCAATTTCTCCCTTTACTTCTCTTATATTTTATTTGATAAGAAACGTCTTCTGACTGTAATAACTACAATAAAAAAATAATTGGCAAAATTGGTCCAGGTGTTTTTGACTTCTTTTCGAACCTTACCAACACATTTAGCGATTCACTCTTATTTATATAAAGATTACCATTTTAATTTAACCTTTTCAGTACACAAACAGTACTATATAGGTACTGCATAGTTAAAATGTAGCATTTCACTCCAATGTAGTTCTAAATGGGCACAGAATATCACTAATGAGTGCGCTCCTAGCGCCGTACGTGGGCGAAAAATTAAATGTCACGCGACAAAACGGATGCGAATCAGACATCTTTATTATGAAAGACATGTTTGTAACGTCAAATGAAATTAATATGAGTTATGTACTGGATTTTAAATAGTAACTTATTATTTTAACTTTTTTTATGGTTATAAGTCGGCAAACGAGTAGACGGATTACCAAACCAAAGGAGTTGCGTTGCGGATAAGGGTTGCGGATATTTAAGCATTGGAAAGGGATAGGGCGTGACTCACACGGCGAAACACAACGCTGTGGTTGTTGCACGCTGGTTTTCTGTGAGGCCGTGGCATCACTCCGGTCGAGTCGACCCATTCATGCCGAAGCTTGGCTCTCCCACACTTTCTTTTTTTTTGGCGCGGTAGCTGGGCAACTAGCTGTCATGCGACGTGTCGCGGGTTCGATTCCCGCACGGAACAACACTTTGTGTGATCCACAAATTGTTGTTTCGGGTCTGGGTGTCATGTGTATGTGAAATTGTATGTTTGCAAACGCACCCACGACTCAGGAAAAAATCCTAGTGTGGGGCAAAAAAAAAACACTTAATATTATTGTAACTTGTTGTTTTAATTAGAATGCATTTTTAGTGTGGCTGGTTGTGGTTGGTTGAGAAGAGCTGAACATCTAGCTCAGTGGCTGGCAATTGGGGAGGCCTATGTCCAGCAGTAGACGAAATCAGGGTGATGATGATGATGAAGTTTGTTTTTGTGGTGAAATGTAAGTAAATGAAGCAGATTTCATAAACCGTATGTTTTGAAATTTTCAACTTATAGGTACGAGTTTAGTTTGCAAGACAATACATGCTAAACTGTTTGGTTTTATTCTGAATACGTAAACATGTCTATTAAGTGTTTAGACCGAGGAAAAAAGCAAAAAGCCTGCAACGCACTTCCAACTCTTATGGCGTTCAGCCGTGGTTGCGGGGTAGGCGCAATAAGGCACCGCGACCTCGGCCGAGAGCAGGAGAAGGAACAGAGGGTTTTTAGTCAGTAAGAGTCTGACACTCCCTCCCGCCCGACCCTGGGCGAGAGAAGTGATTTGATGTTTTTCCCCTCACAAAAAAATCTTTTATGGCGTTGCTGGTGTTTATCGCTGCCGGCGATTGCTTACCATCAGGTAATCCGATGTATCTTCACATAAAAATATCTATATACTTATATATAATATTACCTATAACGCTTAAGATTTTGTTTGTTTGAACGCGTTAATCTCCAGAACTACTGGTTCAAATTGAACAATTCTTTTTTCATTTGTTAGTACGTTTATCGAGGAAGGCTATAGGCTATAAAACATCACGCTACGATCTGTAGGCCTACCATGACGTGTTATTAGGTGAATCTTCCGAGTGAGAAAGAGGGATGGAGCTATTTAAGGTGTATAAGTCCATCCCTCTTTGTCGCCTGGAAGATTGACGCTTATTACGTCATGGTAGGCCCCCTGTAGGAAGGAGCAGCGAAACAGGTGAAACCGCGGGACAGTAGCTAGTCATCATTAATATATATAGATAGATACTTTATATAATTCCAGAACCATCTAATTATATGATAAGTTTAAAAAGAAAAGACATAGGTACTTATCTAATAAATTCGTAAATCACCTACTGAAAAATTAGATGTGACAAAAATGGCGAAACCATAAAAATGTTCTAATAAAACAGTTCTTTTCATTGAAAAAATACAAAAAAAAAAGTGTAGAAAAAAGAATCTCTTAACTACCTACTATGTATTCAATAAATTGATAATTAATAATTAATAAGCTTTCGTACTAACTATAATCCTTTTCAGAGGGTTTTTTTGTGGTAGGTAATTAAATCAAACACCCTCTTTAGAGAGACCAACTTGACATGCTATACAGAAATAAATTAAAAATTTCTTGCTTAGGAAGCCATTTTAGTTCAAAATATTTCAAACTAACTTATCCTCAGCGGTTTTTCTTGTCCCTTAAGAATCATCATCATCATCAGCCTATAAGTGCCCACTGCTGAGCAAAGGCCTCTTCTCATGCGGAGAAGGTTTGAGCATTAATCACCACGCTTGCTCAGTGCGGGTTGGCGATTTCAAACTTATAATATTAGAAATTATAAGTCCAGGTTTCCTTACGATGTTTACCTTCACCGTATGACAGTGGTGTCTATATAATCATAGAAAGTACATTACGAATATTGGGGTGGTAAAAATGAAAAAGTGACTTTAGTACCGATTCTAAAAAAATTGTTTTATTTTGAATCTTGTTCGAGTGTGAAGTGAGCGTCGAAGTGACGGGGAAATTACAGTGTAAAACAAAGTCGCTTTCTCTGTCCCTATATCCCTATGTCCGCTGAAATCTTTAAAACCACGCAACGGAATTAGATGCGGTTTTGTTACAGATAAAGTGATTGAAGAGGAAGGTTTATGTGTAAAATTAAATCGTTTAAATAGTGGGGAAATTTTATATCACCTATGCACCCGTGTTAAGCCGGGGCGGGTCGCTAGTAATTTATGAATAAAAGTAAATATACATTCCTTATGGTTAGTTTTAAAAAAACAGCATAATACATGCATACACGGTGTGCATTTAAAAGCGCACTTTTTTAATAATTGGACTACTAAACTTTATTGCTACCTCAGTGATGAGTAATGGATCCTTGAAACAGAACTACAATACCAGCATAGTTAAATACCAATAGAAAATAAAACATTTTTAAAAAA